CTGCGCCGGCGGCGGCGGAGGAGGCGGGACGAGCGGGCCGCGGGGCGAGGGACGGGGCGGCCTGGCCGCGGCCGCTGGCTCCTCCCCGGGCGCTCCGGGCGCGTACCCCGCGGGCGCGGCGGGCGCGACGGCGCAGGGGATGCGCGCCCGTGTCGGGGCCGGCGCAGGCTCGGGCTCGCCCCGGCCACTCGCTGCGCGTGAGGCTCGCGGATGCTTCGCGGACGGACGGACGGATTTCGGGACAGCCGCGTGGCCCAGTCGGACACGGCTCGAGGATGCCATCTGAACGGGCGGTAACGCGCGTCCAGTGGAAATCCCATGGCCCGTGCACAGCAGGAAATACCCCTCCGTGTCAGTGCTTCGTGGCCAAGCGCATATTTGGAAGCAGCTCTGTCCGATCTATTGCCCTGCTTTTAAAATCCGTCAAAACACAGATGCATCCGTGCATTTGCAGAGCTTCCTCTTGTGCTTGGTGCTAAACTCCATGAACTGCTTAGCAACGTTATAAATAGGACAAGCAGCGTATAAATCTATTAAACAAATAAGGGCTAGCTGTTTGTACCGCCATGGCATTTCAGGAAAAGGAGGAAAAAGTGGCGGAACGGCCTTTCTTCTTCATTCATTCATTCAATGCTGAAGGAATTAATTAACTAGCGTAGGAGTCCAACTATGTCACGTGACAACACAGTAGTTTACCGTCAACCCAAATCACCTGTTTAGCACCCAGCAGAACAAACGCCAAACACGCGCGGGAGGAGGGGATTGCTTTGCTTCTCGACTGCAAACAAGGTAACTGAACTGATTTAGACTTTGCACCCTGTTTTTTTATGAAAAAGAGAAGGTTGTGGATATTTTGAAGCTGGAGAAAATGATAAAAAACTACATGCAATACATAATTTTCCCTCCCAGACAACATTCATAACAGCTGAAAGCTGCTTAAAGTCAGAAAATAAAGTATGTTACTAAACTAGTAAACTCAGACAATGCAGCAACTGGGTTTTTGGCTTACCCGCAGCCTTTTAGCAACAAAAGCTAGTCTCTTCTAAACAGGGATTCTTAGCAGATAGGGCATTTTCAGTTTTTTGGTTTTTTGTTTTGACTTTTAAAACTGTGTAAGATTAGTAGAGGCTAGGATTACTCGATGATCATTCATAGCGATGGTGCATATTTGAATCTTTGCACCCCCTTTCCAGTGTTTGCATTTCTGCAGGTTATTCCTGCCTGAGTGGTTGAGCAGTGACCGCCTTTAAATGCTGGGGATTCTTATTTCCTATTGTGTGTCTGGACTGTTTATTTAGTTTATCGGATTTCTAGCCCGCCCCATTAGCCACACGGCTCCCTGGATGGATTAGAGCAATAATTTACACACAAGCATTTAATTTATGATCCTACATAATGATTCGTTTATAATAGGTTAAAGATATATAGAAATAATGGTAAACCTGATGGGCAATTATTGTACAGCTCCAAGCATCAACTCAAAAATAAAATGGAAAAAACCTACAACTCCCAGCATTCCCCAGCTAACATAGGAAGGAATGGAGAATGCTGGGAGTTATACAGGGCTTCCTGTCTACATGGTCATAAGACTGCGCCCAAGATTTCCCAACTCTCTTGATAGGCGTGCTGGGTTCCCCTAAAACAAACCCACCCCGTGCACGTTCGGGACGGAGCCAGAAATGCACCCTCGTCCCAGAGAAGGCACGAGTAAGGGCAAGCGGCTTCGAGGGCCGCAACTGAGCGTGCGCCGGCCGGTGGCGCATGCCCAGTAGCACTCCGCCGGGTCGCCGAGCCTCCGCAGTGAGGGCAACACCCGAGGCCGGCGGCTTCGGCCGCTCCAGCGAGCAGGCGCGCGAGCGGCCGCGCGTGCTCAGTGGCGCGCCCGGCCGCGAAAGTGGCTCGGAGCGCGCTCCTGGTCGCCGCACCGGCCACCGGCTGGCCGCGATGACGTCACAGCGGCGGGACGCGCGCAGGCGGAACAGCGCTGCGAGGAGGCGCGCGTAAGTGCCGGTCGCGCGGCGCGCGGGGCGGGGCGGCGCGGCGCGCAGGCCGGGGCAGCAAGATGGCGGCGGGCCGGCCCTTCCTCCTCCTCCTCCTCCTCCTCCTCCTCCTCCGCCGGCGGGGCGCCCTCGCCGCGGGCCCCGGGGGCGCCCGGGGACGGTGGGCCCTGCGCCTCCGGGGCGGACGCGGCGGCGGCGGCGGGCGCAGCCGGGGCCCGTGCGCTGCGCGAGGACGGGGGCCGGGCTTGCACCTCCCGCTGACTCGCCGCTTGGTTTTGCAGAGAGGCTCTGGGGAAGGCGGGCTCCGCCTGGCTCGGAGCCTCGCTCCCCCCTCAGGTTCAGCACAAGGCTGCCCGGATTTGGGATGTTGTTGTTCCTCCCCGCATTTTGCGTCCCCTTCCTGTGCGGGATTGCCGCTTTGGTCGCTGTTAATGGGCAGCAGTTAATGATTAATAATCCACCCTGGCTGCTCTTTAGAAGGACAGATAGTGGAGTCAAGCCCAGATACTTTGGCCACCTAATGAGGAGGAAGGACTCCCTGGAGAAGAGCCCGATGCTGGGGACAATAGATGGCAAAAGAAGAAGGGGCGACAGAGAATGAGGTGGCTGGAAGGGGTCCCTGGGGCGGTGGGTGGACTTTGAGGGATGGTGCAGAGAGCCTGGAGGAAGGTTGTCCATGGGGTCACTATGGGTCAGGCATGACTTTGCAACTGAACAACAACAGAGAGACACACTATGACTCCCTTGCCCACTTCTCTAACCTTTCTCTGATCATGGATGTCTCTGAGCAGCCGCTGACATCCATCCCGTTCTCCTTCGGTGTCCCAGACTCTGATTTCATGTGCAACCGTTCAGGCTGGATGAAAGCGTCATCAGTTCCTAAGTGGAGAGATTCTTTTTCATCAAAATGGCATGGGCTGCACTTCAGGTGGTAAATGGCAACAGCTTAGAAGCTTTTTGTGAAATCGACAGGGATCATGGTCAGTTTCCTCAGAAAGGAAACCAGCGTTGGTGAAATGCACACATTGTCTTCTCCCCAGCCCTGCCAGTTTCAGGGGGGAATAGAGAAGGGGAATAATGATGGAACAGCTGGTTGACAAGGCCCTGCTAAATGATTATTGGGGAGTCTGCTCTGTCCCTGGTTTCTCAAGAGCTTTGCTTACACTTTCCCTTGATCATCACTCTTGATGTTACTTACCCAGCTTTTTCCACCCCAGTGGAGCTTCTCTGATGGAATTGTGCGTACCTACTAAATGTTTTCATTCTATAACTGTTTTTTCTTCTTTTCCCTCAAAGTGCCTGCACAGTTTATCAGGACTAAAAGTCCGCTAATGGACCTAACTTTGCTTTTCCTGGTATGAATAGCTCTTTTCCTACTTCTCCTAAAGACAAGAGTCCCATGGCACCTGAAAGCCTGTCTTAATTCATTGTGGCATGACTGGGAGAGAAATTAAATGTTTTGCTGCACGGCACCCTCTGTCCCTACACCTTGGTCAGCCCCCTTTGCCGCCCACGCTGCCAGCTGCCGCTGCCGCTCCGTGCATGTTCTTGGCAGTGGCCACAGCCGCTGTCTCCACGCTCCTGTACCTTGTCCCCTTTTGCAGCTCTCCACTTCTCCACCACGTGAGGCACTGGCACCTCACCCTGGTGGCGGGGAAAACTGGCCTGGGAGGTGCATCTGGAGCTTCCTGGAGTAGCCAGTTCTCTTTCGTAAAGTCCTGGTTATTCTGGAAGGTGGTGTTTTTGTGAGGACTGTTGAGTTGGGTGACGATGATTCTATTTCACTTCTCTGCTGCCCCATAGCCAGGGTTCTTGGGGTGGTTTGCACCAGAAAGTGGGCAGTGCAATGAAGCATAAACCTCTCCAGAAGGCAGGGATGTAAACATAGCTAGAACAGAGTAGGCCTGTGAAACACCTGGGGTGATCGCTCCCCTCAAGCCATCACGCATGTTTCGATGTCCTTAAATGTCATGGCACAGAAGTGCATGTTCGCCTGGCGAGCAGCTGGTTCCGTGGGGGGGCGGCAGCGGCGGCCTCGGAGTGGCTGGTCCTTCCCCAAGCTGCGGAGCGCCATCCGTGAGTGGGGGGTTCTGATCATGCCCCCCTCCTCAGCTGCCCCTTCCCCAGTGGGCCCGCTCTAGGGAATGTGTTCCCACAGGCAAGAGCCTGCCCTGCCTGATGCCATGTTGTGGATGGAGCAAGTTAGTTCCTTCGTGGGTTCAGTGGAGGCAAATCCCGCACCTGTGCTCTTTATTTTTACCCTTAAGTCAGTTGAGCCAAGCCATAAAAATGCATTTGCTTTCTCAGTGGCGGCACCTAGCTTTGGAATGCCTTCCCTGCACCTACCGCCTGTGTTCCGACTTGCATTTTTATTTACCCAAGTGCTTTAATTTGTATATTCCTTTGTTCCACATCTATATCTTTATTTGTTGTGTCTCATTACTTTTGTCTGAACGTAGCACTTGATAAGATTTTAAATAATTATTTGCACTGTTGCACACAGTCTTGGGATCTTATTAAAGGAAGGGCAGGAGCAACGTGTTTTCAGTAAATTATATAAATATTTGGAACTCGGGAGAAGATTGCAAAGATGGTGTTCAGGCTAGGAGCTTAGCCACTCCAGTGACCAGCCTTAACGTTTTGCAAAAAATAAAATAAAATTAGTGAACTGAGCAAGCTTACTATTTGTATGTACTTTGTCATTGAGAGTGTGGAAAGCAAATAGCAGTACTTAAAATAGTCACTTAAAACTCAAGGGAGGATTGCTATAGACAGCAAAGTCCTTATGGTGGTCACAGTTTTGAAAACCAAATGTTTTAGCAGCATTCTCACCCATACCAACCCACATGGCTCCGTTCTTACATACTGAGATTTAAAAAAATATAATTTGTCATAAATAAAGTACAACTTCAACAATGCATCATCTGTTTATTGTATTATTTAAATTACATAATTATGGTATAAGCACTAGGCTTTGAGTCCAGGGAAGGAAATCGATGGTAAATTCCACTTCAAACAGGCAAGTGGCCCACATGTCATGGGGATAGAAAAATAAAAAATGAAAATACAATTAATAAAAAATAAAATTGGGTGCCTTGTTTCAAGGATGCTGTTATGTTTTCAGAGCATCGCAATGTCAAGCTTTCCCCTTGGCAGGTCAGAAGGTCTCGCCATCTTTCATGAACAATGGGTGCACAATGTATATATCCTGTCACTGTATTTTTCAATTACACGTGTATCCCACCTTTTTTCCTCTCGCAAGGAATCCAGGCCAATTTACACGGCCCCGTTTGCCCTCTCCCTCCTCTGTTGTTTCACCTGCGACAGCTGGACGAGGCAGGCTAGGCTAAGAGTTGGCGACCGGCACAAAGACACCCAGCGAGCGCCATGGCCAGAATCCAAAGCCCGGGTTGAAACAGTCCATCATCCTCTCCCACTGATTTCATTTCCTCATTTGCTTAATAGCCGAAGCGCTGTGAGCCAGTGGCCATACAGATAACCGTGGATGAGACTTCTGTATAATAGGTGTCCTGCATTCAAGGAGGCAAAACCAAAGTGGCCCAGTCCACCATTTAAAGCCACCTTTTCCCCCACATGCTCTCTGTTCAGACACTGGTTTAAAGATGACCCCTGGGACCGGTAAGAATTAAAATGAGCTGCTGAGCTGTAGCGATGTGCCACTGACATCGAAATGTTTCCCGCACTGTCCTGGGAAATGCGTTTTTGTTTTCTGTGAGGTGATCAACCTGGCTGTTCAGTGATTGAAACTCACCCTTCGGGCATGTCTGTTTTTGCACCAGTAGCAACGCTAGCATAAAACCGCGGTTGCCGATTTTGGTTGTTTAGCGTGTCCGTCGGTGTGCTCATCCTCAGAAATTATCTGCTGGGCCAGCACAGCCAGGCCTGTCTGCAGCATAATTGCATCCCACGCATGGCATAAATGTTTCCTGACTTTCCACCTCCGAGAGAAAGGGCAGGCGCACGCGACCGTCACCACTAAGTGCATATCTCTTTATATCACACAGCTATGATGACTTCATGGGGTCAGCCAAAAATGTGATCGGCGAATCTGTTGATGTGGAGGACAGTTACAACATGATGGTAAGTCACCGCCTGCGACAGTCTTTCAGGGTCTTGTTGCATGTGCAGAAACCTTCCCAGTTCTCACTCTGTTTGAAAGCGGGGTAGGCGGAAGGGGATCTATCAGCCGGCTAAGCCGGGGCTGAGCGCCTCGTGGCCCTCCAAGTTTTGCCTGACAGCTTGAGTAGCCCTCACCATCGTCTGTGCTGCTTGGCCTCATGGGTGTTGTGAACCCCCAGATGTCTTCCATTACAAGTTTCCAGTCCCTGACCTGGGTAATTTGCAGTAAATTAGCAAGGATTTCTGATCCTAATTAGTCTTAGCAATAGCATCCACTGAGCTGCCCCCCACCCACCTTCAATTAAATTCTGAAATGGGATGTGGTTGAGCTGGCGACCAGGGTCTTTGTCTGAAGAACTTGTGAGCTTGGAAGCTCCAGTTCTTTAATTCGTGGCCCACCTGCCTGAGCTGCTACATTGCACTTCACCCTGGTTGGGGGATCTCAAGATCCTGGTTAAAACAAGCCACAAGCCTTAAACCTGCCCCCCCCCCCCCGGTATTAAGAGACTTGAAGCCTGGCTCATGGAAAGCCGTGGTTTACAATGTGGAGACCCTGTGAAGTTTAGTGGTTGTGCTTGCAGGATCACTGGAGAAAATAAGGCACGGAGGCGTCTTGCTCACCCTGCGTGTGTCCATCACACACTGCCCGATGGCCAAATCGCCCGTGTGGCTTCCAGTGTTACCCAGAGCTGTGAGGCACATCATAGGAGCTGCCCCGAAATTATCCCAGAACTCAAAGCCGGTTGAGTGGCTTCAATAACACGCCTTCCCAGGTACCTCTTTGGGTTTGGACAACAGGGGAGGCTGCATGCCAGGAGAGGGATTAGCCAAGCTAGCCTGGCATGCGAGTGGCACATGGGTTGTGGAAAAGGAGCCCCTGTGCCTTCATCCCCACATGATCTGTGAACTGGGTCAATTCTTCTCCCTTCGGGTTTTCTGTTCTCCCCAACAGATGCTCTGCATCCTTACTCTTCACTCTGTGAGCGTGTGTCCCCTCTAGCTTTCTTCCTAACAGTTTTCTTCCCCTTTAGATTTTTAATTTCTGCAACCACTGGATCCCCTGGTGCAAACCTCTTTTTCCCTTCAGTGCTTCCCTTTGGGTCATCATCCTGTTGCCATTCACCCGCAGAGTTTGTTACTACCGGGAGTAGTTCTTATAACCCAACCGAAGAACTAGAGCTTAGAATTCGAAAGGTCTATTTCTGTGCAACAGAGGATGTGCTGTGAACTGATCTGCAAACCCTAACAAGCTAGATAATTTTATAAACATACAGATGGCATGTAGGCAGTAACAGAACACCGGTGAAAAGCAGCTTCACTCTTTTTAAGCTCGCAGGCCCAGTGGCATCAAGAACTTTTAAAAAATCAATGCACGTTTTGATTAACAGCCACCTGAACCAATCACATGCTGCTTGGTTTTGGGGGGAGACCAGTGAGTGCCCAGCGGGGCATTCTGTTGTTGATGTGTCTCCCCTCCCCGAAGCCAGTCTGGTTCACATCACTGCTTCTGTATATGTCTATGGGGTGCGGGGATGGGTGTGGAGGGGGAGAAACAGGTACGGGATCCCAGCTGAACGGACCCACGGCTGCAATTCTGTGCGGTTGCAAGGAAGCCCCGTTGGACAAAGGTCATATTTTGAAAAATACGGATGGGATTGTTGGGTTGTTCATGAGAAACATTCTCTCTCTCTCTTCAGGCCTCTTTCCAGCGGTCTAATAGTCATGATAAAGTCCGAGAAATAGTGGCTGAGGAGGGCCGGACAGCAAGGAACCTGATCGCTTGGAGTGTCCCCTTACAGAACGAGGAGGAGGATGGTGTGTGTGTGTGTGTGTTAACTGCGGGCATCCTGTTTTCGTTGGAGAAGTAATTTTGCCAGTGGAGTGGATTGGTGGTTAATTCGGGGCTGACAGGACCAGGAAACACACAGCGTTCTTACGGAAGCCACCACCTGCAGATTGGACGGCTTTGAGAGGATCGGGCAAAGCCGTGCCGTGCAGGGGCTTTTATGGCTGTTGGCTGTATCCTACCTTCATATTCAGGAGTAGCTTCCCCCTGAATGTCAGGGAGGTGGGGAGAACCACAAGGGGGCAGGGAATGGGCACAGGGTGCTGCATCCAAGCCCTGCTTGTGAGCTGCTTAGAGTTCGGCCACTGCTGGAAACAGAATGCCGGAACAAATAATGTTTTGGCCAGGTCTAGCAGGACGTCTGTTAGAGGCTCAGGTAACCCCCAAGGCCTGGAAATCAAAACTGAAAAAACTGAGTCAGCGCTTCAATGAGGGGAGGTGGCCCCATTCCATAGCAACCCGTTCTGGGATATGAGAAAGAGGGAACAACTGAGGTGTTTTATTTTGGGATGCCAGGGCATGGAGCATACAGACTTCATCATGGACCCCTCTTCCTTCTCCCGTAATTGCTTTCTTGTCCAGAGTCTGATGAAAATGCCACCTGGGTGACTTTGGGCCAGCCCCTGGCTCAGCCTAGCCTACCTCACAGGGTTGTTGTGAGGATAACATGAGGAGGAGGAACTGCCTTAAGTTCCTGCCTTAAGTTTCTTGAAGGGAAAACGGCAGGATCTAAATATGGTAAATAAATATCCTATCTGCCCAACAACAAGCAACATAAGAGAAATGAGACTACTGGAAAAAAATGAACGTCAACAAGAATGAACTTATATATCCCTTTAAAGTATTTCCTAAATCTACAATGGTGTGAGTGGAGTAAGGCCGTTACACATCCTCTCCCCCAGCCTTGAATCCAGCTCCTTAAAAAAGCAAATTCTATTCTACAGGAAGAGTTACCAGGATGCATCTTCCCTCTTGAGGCTCTGAAAAGGGTTTTGCGCCTTCCAGATGGCAGAGTTGATCTTTCTGCAGTTTCGGGAATACTTTAGCAAAGAGAACAGGACCCAGCTCAGATGCTTTGGGACTTAGAAAACCCATTTGTCCACCAGTCCCACCCTCGGCAGCTGGTCCTACCAGGGGCTGTTGCTCATCAGTCGCTGCCCTGTTAGTCCTGGCTTGTCGAAGTAAAAGGACGTCGATCTTGCAGTGCCACCATTCAAGAGTCAGGGCTAATGAGAGTATGTTTCTCTCTCCGCAGGAAAGCCCAAATGGCAAGCAGGAGGAAAACCGAAGCGGATAACTCAGGGAGCCCACAAGGCGACCAAGCAGGTACGTGCTCAGCCTTTCTCCGTTGCTTGTTTCCCATGTTTCTCCAGAAATGTTTTTGATCCTCCTCCTCCTCGTACGATTTCATCATTTTAACCCATCACACTTGGCCTGGATGGCTTTCTAGCAGAAAAGGCAATATAATGAACACAGTTCACAGACACAGTTCCGCTGTAAGTGTTCCAGCAATGCCAAGCCATCTGTACCTTTTGGATTAAGACAGTTCTGAGATCAGAATGTCCTTTTCCAGCAATGAACGGGTTTTCAAAAACAGAAATAGTGTCCTGATAGTTAAGGTGATGGACGCAATGGCAGAACTTGGCTGACGTCATGGCTGGACTGGTTCACCTCCACATTTGGCATGAAATGTGCCAGAGGCCAGCTAGTTGCTTATCTCTCAGCCTCACCTATCTCATGGGATGATTATGAGGTTAATGGAGGGGCCCACACAAACACTCCCCCCCTTGGAGAAAGGACAGGGCTTTCAAAAAATCAGGATGAACTCCAACGCAAGCATTCCTTCTGATAAGCACTTTGGAAAGTCTAAATTGTATATTATAACCCCCCAAAATGCACATGCAGACCCACTGCTTGTATTCCTGTTGATCTGTAGTCTGCCTCCGAGAGCTAATTCTGCAGATCGGGTTTCCCGCAAAATTAAAGGGGGGAAATGGGGAACTTTTGCCACATTTCAGTCCTTACACCAAAGTGGTAATTATTGCATGCATAGCTAACAAGGAATAGCCTGTAAATGCTTGCAAGAAAGTTAAATCCTTCCAGTTGGAGCGAGTGGAGAGGGAAGCTAGTGCCCAGATGCAGCGAGTGTCTGTTTCACTCTCCAGGGGAGGCAGCTCTTTATCCTGACATTTCAATCCGCCTGGAGATTTCAAAGGGCAACATTAACACAAACACCCAACTGTTCCACTTCAATAATTGGACTGCATTTGATCGCCAAATATCACTAATGGAAACTTGACACCTTGTCCCCCAGGAGCGTTCAGTCATTTTAACATCAGGACTGACCAGGAAAGGCAAAATTCATTTCCATGTTTTTTTAAGGCATAGAAAAGGGAACCCAGTACCAGCTCTGAAATAATAAATTTAGTGGTATTTCACAGAATAAACCTCTGTGTGCTGGTTTAGGAATCCCTTGTATCCACTCAGAGGGGTTTCCTTCCTAGTGAGTGTGTTTTAGGATTGTAGGTTCAGACACTTGTACCTACGCGGTACGAGACTGAATAGCTGGCGAACACTAAAGAGGAGCACTAGTCAAAGAATGGAGGAAGGGAATATTGAGTCTCGGGGTTTTTCCCTGTGTGGCTTTAGATGTTGGGGTTCTGCTTACAGATGCGGCATAGAAATGTTTAGGTGGACCTACTTTCTTTGGATAAGGAGTTGAGAGACTCCAGCATGTGAGAGCAACATGGAGCATACCTCTTGGAGTATTTTGAATCCTTTTGGCATAGTACTGTCTCAAAACTGTGGTGTTAAAAATAGCTTCAACCTTTTCTGCTTAGTAAAATAAGAGATTCCCTTTTCTATGCCAATGTGCCCTGCTTTTCTTCCCAAAAGGAAATCTAAAGCAGCTCACAAGTTCATAGAAAAATAAATGCAACGGTGTGCTTCCGTATTCCAAGTCCGACCAACGCTCTGCGCCAGCAGACGGTAGACTTCAGGTATCTTTGAATCAGCTCCCAGAAGCCTTTGCCAGCATGGCCAGCAGTCAAGGGATGCTGAGGACAAAATCTGCCCACCCTGGCTGCACGGAAATGCAACGATCATGCAGGGCTTCATGCACAAATCTTTCCCACCCTTGCCTACAAATGCAAGGACTGAACCAGGAATTTTCGCATCCCGAGTAGATGCTCTTCGACTGAGCTATGGTCCTTTTCTCCTTCTCTCTCCCTTTTTTCTTCATTCTGGAAATAACATACCAGACAATCTATGTGGCTTCAGGTAGATTTTTCCAGTCAGGCAGAGAAAGAGCTCCGACTCAACACCGGTTGAGAGCCAGTGTGGGGTAGTGGTTAGAGTGCCTGGCTGGATCTGGGTCCTAGCTTCAACGCATCCTGATGCTCACTCCAGGCCAGTCACTGACTCAGTTTAATGTACCTTGCAGGGTTGTTGTGAGGATAAAGTGGAGAGGAGAATAGACAGCTACGCAAATAATTTCTGAAGTGTGATGAACTTTGCAGTGTCTCTGTGTTGCCAGAAGTCATTCCTTTGACAGGAAGGAACTCCTCTCCTTCCACTCCTTGGACACAGTGTTTCCATCTTCACAGAATTCCTTTTGGTAAAATAATTCTATGCATTTTTACTCAGAAGGAAGTCCCACGGAGTTATGGCTTGGAAGATCAGAAATGTTACACCCGAAGGCCTTCGATAGTTAGAATACAACAAAAAGTATGCCCCACAAAAGGCCAGTCCATTGCCATGTGTACTGGATTTTTGCCTTTTTAAAGATTGTGTATCCTCTTTGTATTGTGCATCTCATTTGCAGACCACTGCATCATCCACAGCTGCCGAAAAGCACTTCGATAAAAGTCCCACGAAAACGAGGCAGCCTCGGAAGGTGGATCTCCGAGCTCGGTACTGGGCTTTCCTTTTTGATAATCTAAGGCGTGCCGTTGATGAAATCTATGTCACGTGTGAATCGGATCAGAGCGTAGTGGAATGCAAGGTAAGGATCCATCTGATAGCGCGATGGAGGGGTAGGTCGGTGGCACTTAGTTGTTGGAACTCCTCCTCACTGACACACATACAGGCTGTTACCTGTCTTGGTAACATCTAGAAGAAAAAAAGGAGAAATAAACAAAGGGAAAAATCCACTTGGATTCTCCTCATCCCTTGCCTAGATTTTCTATGATCTGAGCTTTTGTAGGGGAGAAGTCAGATGCGTTAGGCCACGAAAGCTTCTTGCTGAAGTAAATAACAGTATTACATAGTGCCTTGTTTATCCCGGCTTTTAATGGAGAGCTTTAAAGTACAGTAGTCCTTGCTTGTAGAAAATCAGTTTTTTAACCACTGGTGGCTTCGGAGCGCTATTATTTTACTTATAACTTGCCTTTTCCTGTTACTGCAAACTCAAGTTGACTTATAACTTTTAAAAACATGACCCATACAACAACATAAGCAACATAAATCAGTAAAAGCAGTTAAAGGGGTTAAAATAAAAGACCCCGTTTTTAAAAACAGCACAGCAATCCTCGAACATGTCGACCTTTAATATGTGTTTCTTGCTGAGCAACATAGTGAAATTCAGGCAGTATTTATCTTGTGCTTGATGTCCATTTTTCCACATGTTAGTGCTCAGTTTTTCTGTAGGTGGCACTGTTGAGATTCAACCCCTGTCCACATTCTTTAGTTTCCTGTTTAATGTCTTAATTACGCATTGTCCCCTTTTCTGCAGAGATACTTATCGGTCTCCTCATTCACTTACTGATGGTAAGCCTGGGAGATTGATGGCCCAGTATAAACAGAGTCTGGGTGGGACGTAGTCATGAATTGGCTTTCTCCCATCTAAATTTAGATGGAAAACAGACACATCGCCTGTGTCTGTGTGTGTGTTGCCAACTCCAGTGGAAGCTGCTTTGCTCCTTTATAATGTTAAATTAATACTTTTATAGCTTTATAGTAAACCGCAGGAGGTCAAGATTCCAAAACTGTGGAAGGATCCAGCTTATTTCGCGTTCACTGTGATTGGGTATTCTTGTTGTGTTTTGGAAAGCATTATCTAGGCAGTTCCTTATAAAAAGGACTTCCCCCCTCCCAGAATATGAATATTTAGGGTTCTGCTGAAAGAAAAAAACAACTAAATTGTTTATAGGATTAATGTACCAATAGAGCTCACGGACAGTGAGGTTCAAAACCAAACGTTAGCTTGAGGCTCCCAAGCTTTCTCTTGGCCTAATGCAATTTAACTTTGCTGGTTGTTTGGGTTTTTGCTTTTTGTTTGAAACAGAACTGTCTTTCTGCTCAGGAAATTTCCCCAATGATTCTTTTTTTTTAAAAGAGAGAACTGATATGCCTCACAATATAATTGGATTATGATTTGTATGACAACTTCATATATCCTATACCTCATCCAGAATTCCAGTCATACCACACATGCTGAGTTGGGAAGGAAATATTATCTATGTAAAACCTTTTTAAAACAAAGAACAACTCTTTGTTTGAGAAAAGAGGGAAGGTTGTCAAGCAATAGCAGTGTAGTTATCCAACAAACATTTTGTTTACAAAACATAGAAGTCTTGCATTGCAAAGTTATCTAAAACCCTGGAAAGGGTTTATCTGAGCTTTAATGCAATCGCATGAACTAGTGATTGGTGGAGTCTTGCATTCTGGAATTTATCTCCTGGAGGTGCAAGTGAGATGTTATAGGTTCGTGAGGGGGTGTCCCACAGAGGTGGGTAGAGACCTGTTCTCTCCTGTACAGGAGGGCAGGACGTGATCCAATGGAGCCCAGCTCAGGGAACCAAGGTTCAGTTTGGATGCCAGGAAGTCCTTCCTGATGGTTAGGACGACCCCTGGGGCATGGAATGGTCTTCCTGGGGAGGTGGTTGAGGCCCCATCGGCGGGTGTTCAGTAAGGATACAGCCAGGTTGGAGTCAGTGCAGCGAAGGGCCACAAGGTTGGTGGCCGGTTTGCAGGGGATGCCGTATGAGGCGAGACTGAGGGAACTGGGTCTCTTCAGCCTGGAGAAGAGGAGACTCAGAGGGGATCTGTTAGCGACATACAGGTATGTGAGGGCGTGTCACACGGAGGTGGGCAGAGACCTGTTCTCCCCTGCAGAGGAAGGCAGGACGCGCGCCAACGGAGCAAAGCTCAGGGAACCCAGGTTCAGTTTAGATGCCAGGAAGCACTTCCTGACAGTCAGGACCCCCAGAGTGTGGAATGGGCTTCCCTGGGAGGTGGTTGAGGCCCCATTGGTGCGGGTGTTCAAGGACAGGCTGGACCTGCACATGGTGGGCATGTCATGAGTGGATCCAGCTTGAGCCGGGGGTCAGACTAGATGGCCCGGGAGGCCCCTTCTGACTCGCTCTGTTTCGATAGGCAACGGACCAGAAGCAAGACAGGGTCAGTGGGACCGGGCAGAAGGCAAAGGAGACTTGGAAACAGGGCCAGGAACAACGTGCAGTCACAGCAGAAGCCTGTGCCACTATGGCAAAGCTCAGCAGCAAGGCCCCGATCCTTCCAAGTACTCGCAGGTCTGGTCCTAGTCCTGCAGGTGCTCCATCAATGAACCATCCTGCCTATCCTGCACATGCCACCAGGGGGCGCCACGCCATTCCTTCTGTTCCTGATGCAGCTTCTCTGAGCGCTAAGTAGAGCAAATCCCTCTCTCCTATTCACGTTCAGCAGAAAAATCCCCTGAAATTCCCAGCATTCCCCAGCCAGCCTGTCAGAACACGCATCACGTTCTGCTCCAAGTTGTTTTGGGGGCCGGCGGAGGATAAAGGCGCTTCGGGAAGGTTTGAAAATGGAGGGTTGGTTTTCAAACATATATTTAAGGACACAGCCTTCCTGCAAGTGCAGTTTTCTGTGTGTGTGTCTGGGCCTTCATTTACCTTCTCTCAGTAGCATTTCCAGTCTTCCTGCCAGGTCTGCATTGCTATCCCTGCACTGGAAATAAGAGGAGCAGGGGCTAAGATTAAGAAATGGGTGCATAAATAGGAGTTTGGAGCTCTGAGAATCCTACGTGAGAGTTCAGGGTCAACTCCCATGCATGCTTAGAAAAAGAAGGCCTCTAACTCCCAGCGTTCTCCAGCCAGCCCTGGAGAATGCTGGGCGTTATGGTACTTATGTCTCAACACGCATAGGACTTACCTTTAAACTGCTGCTTTTAATTGCACCTATTGTAATCGAGGCTTTTTAATGAGTTAAGTAATGCTCCGAAGAAGAATTTTGTGTGCTCATTTAACTTAAGAACGCCTGTGTAAGTCAGCTTATACTTCTGACGTGATATTCGATTACAAAGAATGATAATTATACATCGCTTTACTAAGTAAATGTTGATTTCCTAAACCGGCACTTTCTACGTTAACTTTGCCTCAAGAACAAGCAGCCACGGCATTTTGTTCTTGGAGAAATGACCTGAACATATGTGTGTGATTTGATGAGAGAGGAGGAGACTGGGTTATTGATTGCAGTGTAGCTGAGAATAATGTTTATTGTATCTGAATGGGCTGGGACCCTGGTGTCTGTTTGCGGTTGAAACTACAGCTGGAAGCATTGTGGGAGAGATGCAAACCGGGATGGTGCCTGGGCTGGGCTGGGCTGGGCTGGGGGATGATTACAAGTCAATCAGCTGTTTATAATCTCTCCAAGCTTTGGAGTCTGCCCCCGGGACAACGCTGTATCTTGCACTGCAAGCTCATGCATGCTTTTTTGGAAACGGATACCCCCACATTCAGTGGGGCATGCCCCCAGTAATTGTGTTTGGGATCATTATTATTAAGATTTATACATTGCTTCCCACCATAAAAACAACTTATACACACATTACTGAAAGATACAATTAAAATAACAAGAAAACCCCCAAATCGTATAAACTATATCCAGCTGAATCATGCCAATACCGATACACCATCAAAACTCAGCCTCGGAACAGTGCAATGCGAACAGCGTTTGTCCGCAGTGCAATGCGCAAGCCTAGCATGAACCCCACGGCCGTGATGCTCATATATTTGGGGACATAATGACGTCCCACCTGGCAGCAGTCGGATGGCGGTGGTGGCGCCGAGCCCGCCATCTTGGGAGAGTGTTGGAAGCATGGGGCTGGTGCCAGCTGGGTCCTCCCAAAGGGGGCTGTGCTGAGGGTGTCGTCCAGGTCTGGGTGGGCGCCTTTTTTTCTTACAAAGAACTCAGGGCGGCTTACATCATTCTCCTCCTCCTGTTCTCAAGTCTTCTCCCCACAACAACAACCCTGTGAGGTAGGCTGGGCTGAGCGTCTGTGACTGGCCCAAAGCCACCCAGTCGGCTCCATGGCCAAGCAGAACTCGAACCCAGATCGCCAGAGTCCCAGTCCCGTGCTCTAACCACTGCACCACACTGGCTCTGCTACTGGTCACAGTAAAACCAGAAGAGGTACTATGCAGTTTTGGGGGTTCTCTGATGAGGTGTGTGGCAGTATTGGGGGCCGGGGGGTGGGTAACATGGCCACTGGGAAGCTCCTACCAGACTTTGGATGGAAAGATGTGCGCGATCCTTGCTTCGAATTAGGCAATCCACCTTTCAAATGTACCCGTCCTAAGATAGCATTATAAAAATGTTCATTGCAAAATTAGGCATAATACTTTTGCAGTCAAATGTGATAATTTATTAGATGGTTAAGCTGGGTCGGGTTGAGTTTTCAAATGTCTCTTGTTTGCATTATTACTCTGACAATGAAACACCTTATTGGGGTGGATTATGTAAAGCTAAAGGTCTCAAATACAAAAAAGGCACAATAAAAGCGATATAAAACCTATAGTAACCATAAAATCTAAAATGCTTGGGGGACATTGATGGTATATGTCTGGCAGTGAAAAAATAAAACCAGAAGTGGCAGCTAAGTGGTGTTGGCAGGTATGTCCCACCGAGAGGGGCCTCTTGCTCAGAGATTCCTGAGCTGCTCTTCTCATTAGGCAGCTCATTAGAAGACTTCAGGTACTTAAGTAGTGTTTGTAATGTAGGATGTGAGTCAAGGGGAGGGCTGCACATACACCTGGTAGGAGCTATAACTCCGGACGGCCCCCGCACAAGGACTGTGGATGCTTACTACAAGGCGTCAGCTCCACCTGTTCTCTTCTCTTCTTGGGGCGAGCCTGCTCAGAACTGCATGAATAAATATTTCAGCAAAGAGACAAGAATCAAATTACGTGGCACCCAGGGGACCTGGGCTTTCGCGAGTTCTTCAGTTTCCACGGAATTAAATAGAAATCGTCATGCGCCAAATTGCAGCTTTAAATAACAGTCTTGTATCTTTTGCTCAGTCCAGCTGGGGTCTCTAAGAGCAGATGGATGGGGTGAGGGGATAAAATATGGCATCTTTTAGGACTTCTCCCAAAACATCCATCCTTCCATCGGTATATGTTCTTCATCTGCATATTTAGATCTATTTTCTTCTCAGCAAAGTTCAGTTTGCTAACATTTAAGTTGTAACAGTGATAAACAGATATAGGGGGATTATGTTCAACTGTGTGTGTAAAAACCCTCAAACTGAACTGTAGAATTGTTGTGAAAATTCCAAGCCATTCTAAGGAGTTCAAAGTGTCAGTAGCTTCCAAATTTGAAGAGAATTGAAAATGCATTTTATTTAATAGATAGAAAAGCAATAAAGGTTTACAGAAATAAACCAACATGACAGGAACACAATGGTTTGGGAGAATTTCCAGTCACACACAGAGAAAAGGAACTCTAGAGAGTGTGTGTTTTTCACACTTTTTCTGTTAGTGTCTCTATATGTAGGTTTTCAAGTATTTTCAGAGGCTGTTCTGAAGTCGTGGCAAAATCAGAGGATTTCCAGTGTTGAGCATGCGTGATTGGGCAAACAGATTATTAACCACCGTGTTGTTTTCCGTCTGCCATCATCCGCTCTGTGGAGAATTGTTGCAAGAACAGGTCAGGTCTGCTCAGGGAGAGCTGAACGGAGGCTGCCGCACCTCCGTCTTGGTCCTGTCAGCGCTCACCTGCTTAGCGCAGACAGGTGAGCAGGGGGCCGCAGGAAGGCGGAAGAGGGGCACCAGCGGTGCCAGGGCTGGCCGAGGGCCCCTGCTGAAGACTGGACCTCAGTGGTGCTAAGCCCTGGCATTGGGCCGGATCCTCATTCGGTTGCCCCAGTGTCCGGCTTGAATGACATCTGTCACCTGAGGCCCATGTGCTTGCAGGATAGCACCCAACCCCCACACGGGGGATGTGCCTGCTTGCTGAGCATCACGCTTCTGGCACTCGAAGCTGCCTGCACAATAGTCTCTATTCGGCCCTTGCCGAATAAGACCTCTCCGCGCAACCATCTTTCCTGCGTCGCCCTTGAAACAACAAACCTCCAGCTTAGCGCACCCTCCCTGCTCCCAGTCCGTAGCGCTCTCCTCCAGGCAAAACAGGTTTCTTCAGGGATTGCTACAGAGATCCACTTGACCTTGAAAAACGACGGAGTTCTTCAGTGGCCACGACCGTAGCACAGGAGCGGGCTGCCCATAAAGGTTCTCTTTTTGTCAGCACCTTCTCAAGTGGTACATATTTCCACCGCTTCAGCACCGTAGGGTATATCTGCTACGCGGTGGACCACGGGTGACCGAGAGCGGTATCGATGGCCGGGACCCCAGCGCCCCGCGCACGAGGATTGTGTGTCAGTGGGACAAAGGGTTGGCGCCAACCATCCTGCCGTGCGCGCCAGTAACGAGAATTAATTACAAACCAATCGAATCCGTCGCAGCCAATTGGTAAACTAATTGGTAATTTTAGCTGTACATCTATATGTAGTTATCTGGAAGCCTGTAATGACGCTTTCTGAGCCACTTTTGTTCTTCTGCCTCCTGCCTGACAAAATGGCCTTCATAGCTTGAGGGGGAAAGATGCGCATCAGTGCGTTTGGGGCCGCCCAGCCGCTTGTCTTGTTTGTATTCCCTTGTTCGTCAAACAGGACTCGGGTTACCGCCGCATGGTACTTGCTCCGATAATTTTGGATAACGGCGGAGCGAGCCATTCCTTGAAATCGGCCCTCTAGAGCCATTAGCTGTAATTTCTGTGCATCAGCCCACCCGAGAAATACAGTTTCATCTTTGCAGCCCGCCCGAATGCTGAGGAAGGAGCAGATTCCCGGGTGAACCCTTGGTTCACGGCCAAGTCGCGCTGTCTGGGCTGCTTGCTCCTTGAAGTCGGCAGCCTGGGTGAGAGGAGCGTTCGAACTGAGACCCGAGGTGGCTTCCTTTCGCCGGGGGACCTCTGCTGCATGGTGCCCCAAGACCTCTCTCGTGCGTCCTTTTCAACGTGCCCCGCAAGATCAGATGAGAGGACAGTCTCGTCCCACACCCGGTTTGCAGAGTGGCTCTCCAACTCTCCCTGGAAAGCCTGCAAGCAGCCAGGAGAGCAGTAGCAACCTCTCCTGCCCACTCAGCACCAAGTATAACAGACGCTCCAGGGGGTAATAAATGACCCCGATGCCTTGGTCAAGGCATTAATGGAGAGCTTCCATCCGTGCCCCCCACCAAATGCAAGCCCAAGCCCAAGCCCGTCTGTCTGGGCAAGACGACAGTGCGGCTGTGCAACTGTAAGCTTTGCTTTTAATGAAAACGCAATTTTAGCTAGAACGCTGAACGAGTCAAAGGCTGTATACTTAATCAGCCCCCTCCTGTTTAACTAAAGAAGACGTCTATTTACCTGCATCCGTAGAATCTACATTTACTTCATTGTTTCATATTAAAACCCACCTAGGAAACTGCTGAATCAGACCAGGAGCCACCTAGTCTTTCCAGAGCAACCAGTCAGATGTTCCCAGGAAAGCTCATCCGCAAGACGGGGACTCGGTAGCCCTCCCCAGTTGTTTGCTGGCCCTGAGCAACTGGTTTTACCAGCTCCGGTGAATATGAGGGCTCTATTTTCGTGGCACCGATAATAGCCAGCGATAGATCTCTCTTCCATGACTGCTCTCCTTCCATTTTAAATCCATGTCAAGATGTAACCATGTGCATTCTTAACTTGGGAATAAATGCACCAGTTTAAATACAGTGGTTTGGAGTCAGCATGTATAGAATCGCTCTGACTGTGTGATTGTTATCATGAGTTACTTCTCTTTTTATTTCTGTCTTTAGAATGAATTCGTTGTAAACTGTCCCGTGACATCTAAGTATGGGACCGTGTGGAAAAGTTTTAAACAACGTGTGACAGTGACAGCTCATTTGCTTAGTGCGTATGAAGTCACAACAGGGCTGTGTTAGAGCTCCCATAATCTGTGTGAACTTCAGCAAAGAGCATAAGCAGGACAGAACGTGGCGCATCGAAGGGGTGATGTAGTAGAAATCTAGCTGACTTTGAAGTCCTCGTGTCAGGAAACGGCTGTTTGTGAGATGCAGAGCATCTTTCCCTCCCCCTCATTGGACTCGCTTTGGTTCACGAATAAAAATGCGAAGGTGATGACGGGACAGAGCTGATAGGCTAGCGAATGCAGCGTGTCCTCGCAGGTAACCTGTTCGTTATTCAGATTCGGATCATTCGTGGTGCATGGAGTTGTGAGCACTCCGTGCGTGCGTGCGTGCGTGCATGTGTGTTTTCCTTGCAGATGAACCATTTAAGAGGTGATGTAAAATATTACTCAGGCCATAAATGAAATGGATGACAGGGCTGCAATGAAAGAGAGTTAGATTTATTTGGCTTGTCATTTAATTAAGGCGTCTTCGTCTGGGCCTGACCACTTGCCGTGCCCTTGTTTCTCTGCTGCACGGAACACAAGCGGGCGTACAAAGAGGCAATATCCAGATATCCTGAATTGGTATCCAATTGACAGATCCTTCTTACTACTCAATACTGTAAATTACAGTCCTTAAATTGAACTGTTTATGTGTGCAGGACATGAATTGCCTATAGCAGCTCTTCTGGCAGTCAAAAGTGGGTTTTTCAGGTGGCTGTTCTGGCTGCGTTGCGTTTAGCTTGGCCTGGCTTGCTTGCATCCTGCTGGGAAGGGAAATTCAATTTGGGCAGCCTGATCCTTTTCGATTGCTAATTCGATTTAGAGGAGGTATCTCGTCCTTAGGCCTAGCAAATCGGCTAGGTAGTATAACACTGATGTTTTTGTGCTGGATGTTGTTAATTGACCTGTGGGGGTACGTTTGTGCCATTTCAAAATGTTGATATATATTTTAAAAGCAGTGCAAGTTGTAGCAGAGCATTGGATTTTTTCTTATGCATTATACTTACAATGCTATTTCCGTGTCTTTCTATTTTCTGTCAGCCACCTCGGGCACAAGTCTCTTGTTGGAAACACAGTGTATAAGCTGCCTGTAATACACCCAATATTTCGGAATACTCTCTACCATCCCCTTTCCATTAGCTTATTTCAGCCTCTGTCACTGTCGTCAAGGACAAGCTTTCCTAAATCTAGTCTTCGTAAGATTTGAAACAAACCCTTTTTTAGGTACCACAGCCAGGTGTGCAGGAAGGGAATGGGCCTTTGGGCCATTTGCCAGGTGGCACACGCCGGGAGGGCCCCAGCACCCCTTGGATGCACTCCTGGGGGAAAGCCGGAGTAAAAATTCAAATAAATTAGTGCAAGGCCATCCAACCACAGGTCCATTCGGTTGCTCTTTCGGAAGGCAGAGCTGCCCCATCCAAATGGTTAAGATCGGCCACTGCAGATGACAGCTCTAACTTATCTGTTTCCCTAGTTCTTCATAAACATGTATGATTTCTTTACACACCTCCGAACGGCTAACCAAAGTACCTGAAATGCAGCTTTGTAGCTTGTGTCAAGCATCCATATATGTCACAGAGTTAAATTTTCACATAGCATAAATGCAACTAAGCCCTTTTACACTAATTTCTTTTTAGATTGCTGCTCTGTGGATTTGCTCACTGCTTTTCATTTGATATGTGAGTTTCCCTTTTGATAAAACTTTTCCTCTTGCAGGAGGTGCTAATGATGCTTGATAACTATGTACGGGATTTCAAAGCTTTGATTGATTGGATACAGTTGCAGGAGAAGCTGGAAAAGGCAGATGCCCAAAGCAGGTAATTGGAAATACCTTTTATCTTCCATGCGGCAAGCACCTATTTTATTCAATCTGAATGAAACATAGAAACGGAGCGAGTCAGAAGGGGCCTCCCGGGCCATCTAGTCTGACCTCCGGCACCAGCCGGCTCCGCTCACGACGATTCGTCGTGATTCCCAGATCAGACTTCATCAGATATATGTAGTGCCATTCTGACCCGAATGGATGTACACGTAGGTGAGGGGAAGAAAAGGAAGAAAATAGTTAGTAGTGAGGTGAAATGTAAGAAGGTTGCATACGGTGTCCTGGTTTGCTTGTAATCCCAGTTCCTGGGTTGTCCAACCCATGAATCGGTGGGCCCGTGCTTGAGTGATCGAGCAAGCTGCCTGCCCCGCTCCTGCTGCGTCTCTGCTCTTTGGGCGCACCAGAAACGCCCCTTTCGTGACTGACTTAATGCAGTGTGCCGACCCAGAATGGTGAGATGTTGCGGAACAAACAGCCCGGGATTTTAGTGCAACAGGAAACCGTGTGTTATTGTGACCTGTGAACTGGGACATCGTGCAAACCTTGCCCAGCCTGCATCTCGCCACACGGCATCCAGGAGCATGATGTTAAGTGCAGGGGGGGCAGGGGATGTCTAATCGGCCGTTTCGCTGGGGACTCCCTGCTCCATTTGCAGACCGACTTCACTAGCCTGGGAAGTAAAGAAGATGTCTCCAGGACGCCACGTAATTCCAAGCCCATCATCCGACAGAATCAGTGTGACATCAAATGCCCGAAGAAGCCTAAACTTTGGGTATGTGCATTCAGCTTCGGCTGTGTAACTTCAAGTACTCTTATGATTTTGAGGGCTAAAACTAAGTCTTAGAATTCCATAACGTGATCCATTCTAATTGCGTTAGACCCCAGCTCCCAGCCGGCGTGGTTGGAAAAATCTGCTTGATTGACACATGTTTAAATTATTGTTTCGGTTGCAGCTTTGGTTGCTAACCTTCACTTACCCCATTTCATCTTTAGAGCAAAGGAAAATAAATATTTATTTTATTATATCTATATCCCACCTTTTTGCCTTTCAAGACACTCATGGCTTACATAATTTTTCTCCTCCTTTCCGTCTTATATTGATGGCGACAACGACCCTGTGAGGTAGGCTGGGCTGAGAGTCTGTGACTGGCGCAAAGTCACCCAGTTGGCTTCATGGCCAAGTGGGGACTAGAACCCGGATTGCTTGAGTCCCAGACCTGCCCTCTTAATCTCCACACCAAACTCCATGTTTTCTTTTAAGTAAGACAAGGTTAAGTCCACCGTGCTTCAGTAAATTTATCATTAAAAAGATGATTTTCTCAATGTGTTGGCATGATAATTTGGTAGGCATATATGCAATTGCCACTTTCAAATTCCTCCTGAAGGAGGAGAATCCTGAACTTTTAATGTTAACTAAAAGGATAGTAGTTTTTATAAAAATACTGCTGCAAGTGGAGAGAGAGAGAAATATTCCATAACCAGATATTCTGATTTGGCTGTGCCCCAAATCTGGCATGTTGGAGGAAGAGAACTTGTTGAGCTGAGAGCGTGAAAGATCCAAAAGTGAAATAGGCTCCAGCGCGACAGGTAAAGAGGGCTACCTCTTTCTGCCGCCATCCTGCAGCGGAGAGACGAGTAAGACAGTGGTGTAGGGGAAAGAGCCAATGTGAGTCAGGTGTAGAAGCAAATAGGAGTTTGGCAGACCTCAAGCATCTGCGCTGAAAGAGATTATTTTGCACGAACTCATTCAGCAGAGAAATTCACACGGCCCTGGACAGTTGGGTAAAACCAGCCTCTTCTGTCAATACGGCTGGTGTGAATTCATCTCTGTTTGTCCCAGGTTTAGGTCAACAGCGTTCAACTTGGAATTCGTTACGAGCTTGGCCAATGAAGGCAGGAGGAGCCTGGGAAAGCGGAAGGCCGTGAGAGTGTGTGGAGAAGCCTTCTCCAACCTGGGTGGGTTGGATCCGAACTCCTAGTGTTTCGGACCGTTGCCCTCCCGGTTCAGGCTGATGGGACTTGAAGCCCAACCAGTCTGAGGGGAACAGGTTGGGGAAGGCTAATGCTGAAAGTGTCGGACTGTTTTAATGAAGTAGTTGGCTCTGACTTTTTCTCTCCTTAGGACTCCAGCTGCAACGGTGTCGGCTAGTCGTCTGGCTCCTTCGGGCGTCAGTTGGGCAGACAAGGTAAAAGCGAGCCGCACAGCGATGGTTCCTGCTAGAGAGAGCATGGCGACAACGCAGGCGTGCATGTCTGCGCCCGTGCAGAAATGTTCCCGGCGGAATGGCAAGTGTCTTGAATTGACTTGGCGATGTAGAATTGACTGGATAACCCTCTGCTTTAGAAACAGAATACAGGAGATGATAAGGAGGGCATTTGAATGGCATGTTAATCAACGAGAGGAGAAGTAGCCGCGGCGAAGCTCAGGCTTCCGTGCTGCTCCCTCTTCTCTTTTCCAGCTGGTCCGTGAAACTGGACCAGTTACTGGAAGGTACTGGAAGGTTTCCCTTCTGTTTCTGTTAGCCCTGGTATATGACGTCAGCCAAACTCGAAAGTGTCCTTTCAGATTAACTGTAGTTAGTGAAAATGAACCAGCTTCATAAACCGTGGTTTAAAGATAGCTTGATTCTAATAACCATAATGAAGACCGCTAGTGTTTGCATTACCTGCTGCAGAACGTAATTTCTTGGTAGCTGTCGGATGTGAACATTTTTCCGAGGCCTTTGGACATTAGGTACGGCCCCATCGCTGGGGGTTGTTTTAGCAATTCTCATTCTGGGTGCTGGGAAGCTGTGTCTTTCCCAATGAATGCTTTTCATATAGCATTCCTTCTAGATTACGTTTCCACGATTTTTATTTTGATTTTCATGATACAGATTTTTATTTGTACTATGAACCCCTCTGCCTGCCAGTGGATTCCTCGTAGGTTTCTGTATGGCTTCTATGAATCATTTCGCGATTGCTTTCCATGGGGGAAATGCTGCAGACATTTACAGAGAAATTATTGTAAGAACAGTAAACGGTGAGGCACGACTCTGCGTGAGGATTCCCTTGCAAGCATTTATGGACTTCCTTCCACCCTCGAGGCTGCCCAGAGACTTACCCTCTAGAGGAGCTTTCCCCAACCTGGTACCCTCCAGAAACTTTGACGATCACTCCCAGTATCGCCACCCATCGGGCATGCTGCCTGGGGGTGATGTGAGTTGGAGTCCAAAACATCCGGAAGGTGCCTCAGCGGGGAATCTTGCTGTAGAGGCCCCGCAAAAGGGAGCTAAACTTCAATAGGCACCGGGTTGGCTTGCTGGCTGGCTTGCTTGTTTCATTTTCGTACTGCCCACGTTTTTAGTGTCTTTCCAGGGGCCGATACAAGAGAATAGGGAAGCTTCATGGGGGTGGCCAGAGCTCATCTTGTTCAGTTTCTTCTGCAGGAATTACTGTATAAAATCATTGCATGAAACTATTTGTTTATAAGTGTGTTTATAGGCCGCCTATAACTGCCGAGCCTTCCCAGGAAGCTTGCAATACATAAAACATATTCACAAAATAAAACACATTAAAACCAATTAAAACACAACGAATTAAAACATTTATGAAAGCAATATAGGAAGGGTGGCTGGGCAGCTCTCCAGATGTTGCCGCGTTGCAGCTCGCATCATTCCCATTTGCCATACTGGCTGGGGCTGATGGGAGTTGGAGGCAAATAACATCTGGTGGGACGCAGGTCCCACAACCCCACGTTATAAGTGAACTTGTTTAAGTGTGTGTGTGAGGGAGAGGGTGTGAGGAATGTAACTTTGCAAGTCTTATACTGCTTTATTTATTTTTGCTGCAGGAGTCGTGTGCAGTCTTTACAGATTTATTGGGATATAAACTCTAGTCCACACACATTTATATATCACAATAAATCTTAGTCATTAAGATACCACAAGTCTTTTTCTTCCCCCTTTTCCTTTTTTTTTTCTTTCTTTCTGCTGTTTTCCCTTTGACTATGTTAACTCCTAACCTAACTTTTAAGAAGAAAAGCAATTGTGCTGTTTCTTTGTAATTAAAAAAACCCCTTGGGTTGTTTTTCCTTCTTTACTATAAAAAAAAAATTCTCACAGACTTTTTGTACACCATCACAGACATCAGGGACCACTATTAAAAAAAAAGGTGTTGAGTTTCACGAGTTTAGAAGCATGCAAGCGGTCCCAGAAGGGCATCATTCGACTGATATCTTCAAGAAAAAGCTGATAGATAAACGGTGTGTCTGTAGAGACCCGGGCCAAAGAACTACGTTAAAAGCGATAATGGATGGCTTGTTCTTTGAGTGTAGGTGGTGCTTTATCCCCATTGTACGTTCTTCTGCATGAAAGGTCTGTTTAGCCGGGAAATGTTACGCCAGGAAACCAAGTTTTCTGAGAGATTAGCAGCTCAAACATATACCTGTCTACTCAGAAATGAGCTTCATGGAGGTAGTGGGACAGGCGTATTTCCTTAGTTATCTTACTCTGGTGAGCAAATGACTCATGCCCGCTTTACCAGAGAGCCAGATATTAAAAAGAGGGCTTCAGGATGAGGGTGTCCTGGACGGCTGCTCTCTAGTCAGCCTCTGGGCATATGATTTATGGGGGAGCAAAGCCAAACTCCCCGCCTGCACCCTACATAGATGCACCAGGGAACCGTAGGAAAAGACCCTGCGTGCATGCAGCTGTACACACGTGTACACTCACTCGCTCACCACCTCCCTCCGTCCTGCACATGCACCATACATGTGAAAGCTGATGCATCAACACCCCTTTAGTTTCCATCATCCCCAAGAGGCTGAGCTACTGGCTACCCCACCAAGAACGAATCTGCATCCTCTAAACTCCTTCAAGCCAATTTTTTGGGGGGTGGCTTTTATAAACAATGTTGTGGAAGCTGTTCTGAATAATTTTGCAGAGGAACATAAAGTCGGACACCTCGTGCTGTTCCCCCTCCCGCCCCATGTGGAGGACACTTATGGAGCCCATAAGAAGGGCTGTGCTAGATCAGACCAAGGGTTGTCTGGTCCAGCGATTTGTTCACTCGGTGGCCAACCAGCTGCCCCTGCATTGCACCCCCCCCACCCATGTGCCCCAGCAACGGGTATAGACAGGGATACTGGAGGTAGCTGTCAGGACTGGTAGCTACTGATCGCCTTGTCCACCATGAATTTGCCCAATCCCCTCTCAGAGCTTTCCATAAGAAAGCAGCGAGTAGGTTATGGAAGTCTGACCCTACGGGCTTCAGCCACATGGACCGGAGGACCTCAACAGGAGTCTTGCAGGTGCTGATGGGTGTTCCAGTGATGCTCTTCAAGCTCCTCATGCCGTCCCACCTTCAAAAACAGTACTTAAAAAAATGAGAAACGTTCAGGAGTCTCCTGCTGATCCTGAACCTGCTGCCAATCAGCTGCCCGGAGGAGAACACAAGGCAGAGATGTGGAGGAGAGAGGAGAACGGGCCTAGACACTGGGAAGCAGGCAAAACCGTGGGGTCAAGAGGTAGTTGCGGGGAGGAATGGTAAGGCTGCGGGCTGGGAAGAGAGAGAGTGCACACAAGGGAAGATGGGGCGATCCAGGAATCCTCTCTCCCGTCAGCCACCCCAGCCTGGAGCCGCGCTATTTCTCTCCCTGCACCACCTCCTGGCCAGTCAGTCCTGCACGGCAGCCCGGGATGCGACTGCGTCTCTTGCATGGGAGTCGTTCTCTGACGTGCCCTCAGCAGCTCATCTTCTCCAGCGTGAAGACAGGCCCTGAAAGGTTGAGGACCCCCAACACTGAGGCATGTAGAGCAGTGTCTTTTAAAAATACCAAATTACCCCGAGGTGCACAGGTGGCCATGTTGCGTTTCAGGTGTCCAGGCTGCATGGACTCGGCCCTGCGGCTGCAGCACAGGATACACGTATCCTCTTTTATTGTTGCAACGGATGGAGTTTCCTACAGGCTTCTTCATAGATCAGATGGTGGTCTTGCTTGTGTCCTCCTCCTCACAGCAGCCACCCAGATTCCTTCAGGAAAAGCACTTGTTGACTTTAGCATTTGGTCTACGGAAATGCAAGTTTCTTATGCCGTAAGTGATTGTCCTGCCTGTCAGTCTTGGCCTAAACATAGACATGACTGTCTTGGCCTTGCTGGCAATCGTAGGATTTCTTCCTGTCTAAATATCTATTTTTTTTTAAAAAAAGCCACAGTAATTTTTAATGCACATTAGCTGAAATTCATCAATAGTCATCAGTGTGTTTCCGTTTTGTGTTGATTTGGGAGTGCCGTTCTACGCTAGACTTGGTTTTCTGTGAGTGTGAATAGGATTGCATTAACGAGCTTTGGCAGGAAAAATTGTAGGAATATCACCATATCTATCAAGAAATAATTTATTTTCCCGGTTCTCAGAGAAGAATTTATTGCATTGTAAACATACATAATCCCTGCCTTCTCTCCTCCTTGAAATGTGCTTTTATTTTGCTGCATCCCATGTATATTTATGGCTTTTTGCCTTGTTGTTTTCTCAGCGGCTATGCTGGGGCCTCATACTAGATCTTGGACTGTTTCTTGCCACTCCCTCATAGTAAAATTTTATTTTGTGATGTTGGATTTTTTTTTACTGTGCTGCCCTTTGGCCAAAAATGCCCTATAAAGTTGATTTGGCACCGTTCATGAAACCACGTTCCTGATTTCCCACTCCCTTGCTTCAGAGGAATATCGTTAAAAACCAGAACAAAATCTTGATTGTAGCATTCTGGGTTCCCCCTTAGAACTGGCTTCTTTCATGTGTCTTTTAATACTCTGCACATAATGTACTACTTAAACTGTAATGGAAGGGACAGTCAGAAGTGAATTGATTTTAAGGCAGACTTCCCTGGTTTTGGTGCCCTCTAGATGTAATCGGACTACAACACACAGCATCCCCCCCCACATCAACCAAAAGGTACCCACTCAAGGGAAGGAACCCCTTCCATAATAGCACCAAAAGCGAGGGAAACGGCTCCAGCTTCTTTGTCCATGCATGAGGTTGGGGCGATGCTGGTGGTATGAATCTGGCCCACTGTGGGTATCACGCAAAATGTTGAAATCCAACAGTGGTATGTTCAACATCTGGATTGTCAGCTTTGTACTACAATCCCATGCACACATCCTCGAAAGTGGGGGTTTCTTCCAGGGAAGTGTGGGGTCCAGGGTCCCACCATCCGTCTGGTAAGAACTCTTCCTCTAACTACTATCACTAAAATGGTAAGGCAACGTCGTCTCCCTTTTCTGATGGCCAGTGAGATCTTCCCACCGGTGGCTTAAGCGGCAGACACTTCATCACAATCCTGCTAGTAAACTTTTCTCACCGAATGTCAAAAACCCAGTGAATTGGACCAATTTTGATACAAATCCTTTTATATCTGGAAGCAGCAGTTTTCCCGGGCTGCCTGCCCCGTTGTCTTGCGATGGTTTTTCAGAAGCTTATGGGGCAGTTCTTGTAGTTGGAGTAACCCGTAAGGCGTGATGCCTAAAGGGCTGTGTGGGGTGGGGTGGAGCGGAGTGTGGGGAGCCCTCCAGGAGCAGATGGCTTGTCACTTTCATGTAATACAAGAGGAAGCCGAAAGTGGGAAGCTCAAATGTGACTAGAGAATTGTCAGAATAGCCCGATGAATTATTCAGCGACAGAACTGGGCAAGTAACCAACACCCGCTTGTGATATCCTGCACGGGGTTCTCCATTCAGTACTGAGCATTTTTTACCTGCCTGTTTTGCTTCCTTCCTAGGGACAATACATGAGCTTACCTTAGACCCTTCTACCTGCATCGTGTGTGTTTGGTATTACAGCAAATGTTATTAAGGCTTGGGAATGTTGAACTTGACTTCCAAATAATAACTATATGTATTCCCTGTTTGTAGACAGGGCTCCTTGTCCCCCCACCCCATCCAGATTTCTGATCACTTCTACCCCCGCTTATTGTCAGTGATGCTGCTGTTCCCAGGCCATTCTTGGGTTTGTTGCTGGTTGGTTTTAACTAATCACAGTTTGCTGAGTTTCAACATACTGGGAAACAGTGGCTAGTTAAAATCAAAGTCGGAAGTTTTTGTTCTTGTACACCTGGAGGAGAGTGAGAGAGGAGAGCATACAAGCTCAGTGCAGTAGCCAGATGGTTGTGTTGTTGTGTATATTTCTGAGTCATTTGCATACATAAATATTTCAAATCTCCATTAAGAAATGCCCATAGTGCAACATTAAAACCTGTCCACTTTCAGCAATAAAAACAATTAAAAGAAGATCTCATGGTGCCCCCTTTCAAGATATTACCTAGCAATATTTGTAGCCATTGAATGGCTGAAAGGCCTCTTCTGAAGGCTTTAGAAGACCACCAGGTATTCTGGTCCTGGCACAACTTTTTAGAGGGCTGCCCTGGGCACGGGGAGAGACCCTTTGCCTTGCATCGAGGCAAGCCAGAGGACGGGTCGTGCAAATTTTACCAAAGACTCTTCTTCGTCTGGACCAGAATGTTGCGCACCGATCCGAATTGCTGCCGTTCAAGTCAACTCCTTCCTTTCTGCCCCCTTTTCTCTGGCCTGACCTTTAAGCCATTTGCTATAGATGCGTTTCTTTCTAGTGCATTTTGATTCTTAGTTTTCCCTTGTTGTGAGAGGTCCCTATGCTAGACTGACCTTCACTTGGATGGCAAGCGCTTTATCCGTGTCTCACATGTGATTTGCCGTTCCGTCTGAACAGCTGTTCTTTTATTGATCCTCCTCACTTGTTGAAATGCTTTTTCGAAACCTGTAAGGTATAAATGTTGCATTAACCAATATTCATAATGAACATTGTGCCTTCTTTAGGTATTAAATTCAGATTTAGATTCCCCACCTGTAGCAGTTTTCTTTTATAGTGTCTATATTTTATAACTTGCTGATGTTTGCTTTCTTTTGGCTAATGCTTGAGCTCCAGTTTCTAAACAGTATTTCATTTCAAAGGGCCTTTCAGAGAATGCCTCCCCCCCATTCTTTGAGCCTGCCCCCATCCCCCAAAGCATGCTCTTCCTGAAGAGAAAAAGAACGAGTATTTCCTGAAGGTTTGTCTGTTCTGGATGGAGGAAAGCCTTTGTTGTGTCACCATGTAAATGTAATTCAAGACAGCCTTGGCTGTGCACGTAGTTCTGAGCCTGCCTAATGTATAGTGTTTGGAATCACATATGAAGAAGCCTCCCATAGCAGGGAATTTTAGAATTTTCAGGGTGTGTTGGGCGCTCCCTCCCAAATGGTTGCCACGGGGGTAGAATTTGCTCATTCATAAAATGGCGACTTTGGCAGAAATCGCCATTTCCCAGAAGGCAAACTGGCAAGGCAGACGGAAAAATGCCTTGCCCAGGAAGCAAAGAGCAGGCTTCTGAGCTGTGCCGAACCCCAATAAATGAATCCACGGTTTGCTCTTTAATGTAGAGCGAAGGGACGCCGAAGGATGGGAGACCGTCCAGCGTGGAAGGCCCGTGAGATCCAAATCCTCCTCTTTAGCCCCGAAGACAACGTCTTTGACAGACCTATCCCAGTTGAAGGATGACAGTGACAAAGAGAACGTCGTTCTCCGTCCGCTGGAGAATAAACCGAAGGATTTGTTAACGGAGGATAGCGCATCCAAAAACACAGATGCCACCTTGAAAGAGTCTTGCTACCAATGCGAGCACCCCCTTGCTGAGAGAACTCAGGTAAGAGTAATTTACAGTGAGCGTCTTAGTTTTTAGAACTGTTTTATCGTTGCTTTTCCTAGTCCAGTTAGCGCGTTTGAGGAGTCCTTGCCCTCTCTCTTCCTGTATCAGTTTCCAGGCCATGGAAGTGGGCAGCCTTGGGCTGCGATTTCTCACTTCCCACAAGCCCCTGGGGCCGCATCGTTCTGCGGCAGGGGGTCCCCAACCTTTTAGGATCAGTGGGCACATTCTGTGGGCTTGGCCAGCCACGAAATGCTCATTTCACAACAGGGGAACCAGTGTGGCTAAAAGAGGAAGCAGCTGCCCAAGAACCTTAGTACAAGACAAAGGCACCAAAACAGAAACCGCAGATAAAGCTGGTTCTGAAAGGCAGCAGGTCGCCTCGCAGCCTCGCAGTTATTTTTCAATTAAAAAAAAAATCTCAAGCGATAAAATTACTGTCCCAGCACGAGGGCAGAGAGCTTGGCTGATGCCAAGTGCGGTGCTGAGCTGCCATGGTGAGAAGTTTAGGTGATGCTCCAGAGCCGTCTGGCAGAGGGGGACTGGAGCAGCTTTCGTTCCGGGACCCTGGCCGCTGGGTTGTTGGTGTCAGGCTCCCCCAGCAACGTCCTTCAAGCTTTCCTCCAGCGAGTCGGAAAACCAGTAATCACCAAACAACTGACGTGCATAAACCTAACTAGTGCCAGGCAGTGTAATGCCCGGTTGTAAGAGCATGCAGTGTTCAGAACATCAGCTCCACTGGAAGTGGAGTGGAATAGCCAGGGCTTCACAGGCGGTTGGGAACTAACCGTGAGCAAGCGACCTACGCATCTTGTGGGAGGGATTTCCACAGGCATGGAGCCAACACTAAAAAGTCCGTACCTCTTGCCGGTGTGGACCAAACCAGTCCTAATGGCAGGTGTGTGAGCGGGGCTGCGGAAGCCCATCTCAGAGTGCAGGCTGATCCATATAGGCACAAGCCTGCCGTTCCCGCACGGGTACTTCCCAGATATTTGGGGCTTGGCTACTGGTTTGGAAAGCTGGCAGTTGGCGGGCAGAACATCTGGAGGAGCTGTTCTAGGCAGTCTTTCAGCCACGTGTTCCCAAACCTTGGCTTTAGAGGCAACAGCTTTCACATTTGCCCTCCCCTCCCCTCCCCCTTTCTTTTTTGGAGACCTGGAAGCGAAATTTAATTTTCTGTCATCGAAACAATGCTCTTTGGAAAGGCTCTTTTATCAGATCTTTTTACGAGCGTTCCTTTCAAGTACACGATAGCCAAATATCACTGTCCTCCTTCTGATTTATGGTGTTGTACACATTTTATTAGCCACTAATTCCCCTCAGTGAGTATATATTTCAGAAGGACACCGAAAGGTCCCCTAAGAAAGGTTTGTGTTAAGTGGGGCGCATTATCCTCGTTGGCGTATTGCGTATAACTTCCCTCGTCTTTCGGTGAGTCAGGGCACGAAGCGTTCGACGTCAGCAGAGGCAAAATCGAAACCGATGAATTTAAAGAGGCAACACTCTCCGGGCGGAAGCAAGGCCTGCGGTGTCCTGCGTTCCTCAGCCAGCTGGGAGCTGAGGCGTGCCGAAAGTTGTCGAACCCCTTTCCCTGTGGGAAAATCCATAGAATTGTCTCCCACACTGTGCTCGAAAAGAGGGATGCCTGGGCGGACGGGAGGAGATATGGGGCACAGAGGGGGCTTGTGTGATGGGAAGAGGGAGGTGAGAGTCGCTTTGGTTTCCGATCCTTCTGGAGACAGAACCACACCAACTAGCATGTCCTGGGACGTTTGAGGCTCTGCTGCAGAAGTCCCCGTTTTCCCTTTCTGTTATTTGTGCATGGGCTGCTCCAAACAACGAGAACTTGCTTGAACAAGTCCTCCTGCGTTCGTTCGTATTATTTCGGTGGCAGGTTGGAACTGAAAGCTTCTGCTGGGTGCAATATTATAAGAGGGGGAGCTAGGTTGGAAATTAAAGATGGCTTTAAAATATCAGTAGGGCTGAAGGGCTCAATTAAGTGCTGGCAAAAATATTAAGCACCACGATTCCAGTGACGGGCAGGGCTGAAAGCAAAAGAACAAAATATCTGCGTATTTCGGCTTAGCGCTCGTTCTGCCAGTCACCAAGGCTTGGGAGAGGCATGTCAGTCTACGACAATGCGGAGCACCGCACAGAAGCTGGGAAACCGCCAAATGATCTGGGGACGTGGGAAAGGGGTGGGACGAAGGGAAGGGAAGGGGCCATCCAGGGTCACCAGGAGACGGGGGCTTGGCCCTGGCCCTGAGTTTCCCCACCCCTGTTTCCACGCCCAGCAGTAGCTCCTAAGTGAGATGCCTGAATGGAACCTCCAAGTAGAAGAGCAGTGTATCTTAATATCTGCGGTCATGCAGCAAGGAATTGCAGTTATGCCCCTGCTTCTCAGCTTTGCTAAGTGGGCTTTTGGTGCATTTCAACAGAGCTTTCCTCACGTAAAGAGCCAAGGCCTAAAGTCCTGTGTCCCGAAGCTCCACTGACTATTAGCTGTTGGCTAAACGCTGGGGTGTGTTTACACTCGGGAACTCAATGACTATGCTGGCTGGGAATGATGGGTGTGGTGGGCCAGCGCATGTGGATGGCTCCAGGCTGGGGAGGACTGGTGTATCCCTGTCTCTGCCTTGTATCAGTTCACAGCCCGCGTCCTCGAGGACCTCAGAGTCTCTGAGAAGAAGGATGGCTTGCCGGATGTTTCTCCGCCGTCGCCTTCTGAAGTGCCCGTCGTTCTTGCAGATGCGGAACGTCCTTTGGAAAGCCCACAGATGGGCGAAGGAGCTGCCTTTTCCCGGAGTCAAGGCGAGAATTCAACAGAGAGAAGCCAGATGGAAACCGAACTGGACCCTGCAGATATTTCAAATGTGAACACCTCTAACTTGCATAGATTTGTTCCGTATCCCTTGATAGCATGCAGTGGCTAACTCCCCTCTCTTTTGCATGCTAATTGCATTAATTGAGTGGAAGAGCCAGTGCCTTGCACCCCGAAAGTCTTGGCTGCACTCCCCTGGCAGCTCCAGGATTGTGGCTGTATCAACACAAAGCAGTCAGCACAACCGCGTTGCTGCGTAATTGTCCAACTCGCCCCACTTCAGAGGCTCAACGTCTGACGATGTGGGTGCACCGGCCACTGGCTTTCCATAAACAATTGGATTTCTGCCTCCCATCACACCTGGTTTTACTCCACTGGCTTATCCATCATCGATAAACCCTCTCGGTTTTTCACCCAGCCTCCTTCCCTAGATGTTCCAATCACTGTCTGCTTCCGTGCTCTCACCATTTGTTATTTGCTGACAATAATGGATTAATTTCTTATGGAAGTATTTTACGCCCTTGCCCTTAATGTAACCCAGGCCTGTAAATAAGAGCAGGAGTGTTAGTAGCCTGCAAAAGCTCTTATTGGGCTGCTGTGGGTTTGTTGACGATAAAGGGAGCGCTTGATCCTTCGGCAGAGTCTCACGGAGCTTCTGCACTGGGCAGAAAGACTGGGTGGGGGGCAAGGGGGGGTTCTTTTGCAGCCTGCTTGGCTTCTGTGCAAAGAGCAGACCAAGCCCCCGATCCCCCTTCCGCCAGTCCACCCGCTTGCCCTGGGCACCCGCTTGGCTTAAATGCTTAAAGCAAGGCTTATTACGATAGCTTTGTGAAAAGGATAACAATCGACATGCGTTTTGCAATACTCACACCAGTTCCCACACATTGTGTCTTAGCACATGCCTGTTGGTGGTCCATGTCCATCTAGGCCAGCCCCTGTAGCAGAGGTGTAATCCTTAGCAACATACATACTGAAGCTTAACGGCAATGGGATATTCTAGGCAAACTTCTGGAGTGAGGAATTCTAGACCTGCCTCAAATGTAGCCTCAAATTTCCTGCTCAGGCCCTGACTTTGATTTTGCATGTTTAGTCCATGGCAGAGGTTCTTGCTAAAAAAGAGGAGTTAGCAGATCGCCTGGAAAAGGCCAACGAAGAGGCCATCGCTAGCGCCATCGCCGAAGAGGAGCAGCTAACCAGAGAGATCGAAGCGGAGGAGAACAATGACATCAACATCGAGACGGACAACGACAGCGACTTCTCGGTGAGCCCATTGCAACAAAGGTTGGCTGAATGTGGCGCGCAGTAGTCCTGAAGCCGAAAGAACGGTTCAAGTTCTGATTTCGTTTTTCAATTTGCATGATGAAATTGCAGGCGAGCATGGGCAGCGGAAGTATATCTTTCTGTGGCATCTCCATGGACTGGAATGACGTGCTGGCAGATTATGAAGGTAAGCCTGCTTCGTTGTGTATGTTTAGATATCACTCTGAGGCTTTCACATACCTTCTTCATGGTATACATTTAAGCACTGGCTTAAGACTGTCACTCCATGTACTTAAACGCAGCTTAAGGCCTCCATTTACATTCTTCTCTGTATATGTGTAGACACTAGTTTAAGACCTTTGCTTTAAACATTTAGATGACTTCCTAGACCTTCACCGTAAACATTGAGACAACAGTTTAAGGCCCTTCTCTTCCAGCAGGCTTACGATCTCCATTCTGGTGCCCTGATTGTCAAGCAAGCCCTTTAATAGTTTTAATAGCTTTGGCATCTTTGGTATTTTAATTGTATTTGTTGCTTTGGTTGGTTTTGGTTGTTTTCTTTTTTTAAGTGAGCGTTCGTTGCACCGAGGGCATCTACTGATTGAGTGCTATAAAAATGTGATGCATAAATAAACCAACCTGGATTGCAATACGGACTGACATAATCAGATTCCGTGACTTCAGAGAAGAATCTTTTGTCCATCCATCCCTCCTTCAAGCAAGGGAACGGTTGTTATCGCCCAGGTTTTGTGTGTCACATAGACACTACCAGCCGGACGGTTTCCCTGTTAGCCTTTGCTTCAAAAATGATGTCTTCTTCTTTGCAGCTCGTGAGTCATGGCGCCAGAATAACACCTGGGGAGACATAGTGGAAGAGGAACCAGCCCGTCCGCCGGGCCACGGAATACACATGCACGAGAAGCTGTCCTCACCCTCTCGCAAGAGGTCTCCCGTTTTTATAAGCCTTGGATTAAAGCAATTGCAGTCGGATCAGACTGCTTGACTGTGTAACGTACTGACCACGAGAACTTAAGAAGCTTCCTTATTCCGAATCAGATATTAGTGCGTTTAGCCTGGTATGCTCCGCTTTGACAGGTTGCTGGTCTCCGGGGAGAGGGGAGAGGGTCTTTTCTCCCACCTGCTGCTTCTAAATGGAGATCATTATTTTCGGAGCACTGCCTGTGCACCTCTCTAGAGATCAGTCTGTAACAACTGGGATGCAGAGCTTGTCTTCTTGCACTGTGCTGTGGCCCCTCTCCAGCTCAGGTTCCAGGCCAGAAGCACAGCAGCAAAGTTATATTTTGCTCCAGGGAGCGCCTCAAATCTGGAGCCAAGCTGAATTGCTGCTGTCGCTTGGCCATGTGTTGAAATGCTCTGGCTGTGAGGCATATTTAATACTATATTCCACACACACAGCAAGGCTTATCTGTAGCCTCACATCCATTTCTGAGGTTTCCAAGGGACCCTCCGTACCTACAGGGGATGCCTCGCAAGGAGCAGGGGCAAAGAATATTCTGAAATTAACTAAATGCCTGAACTAGATAGTGGTGTGACAGGTATTTTTCCCCTGATTTAAAACTGGTGCTTCTTTAAAGGACCCCTATAGATCCCAGATAGCCAGATTTGATTTGATTTTGGCTTTGGTTCTCAGCCTTACTGAGTGTTTGCAATATTTATTTCATAAGGACAATTGCAGAATCTAAAAAGAAGCTTGAAGAGAAACAGATGAAAGCTCAACAGCTGAGAGAGAAGCTGCGTGAGGAGAAAACACTAAAGCTTCAGAAATTAATGGAAAGGGTAAGCTTCCCCTGGTTCAGTTTTGCAATTCTCCATCTGGACATTCAGGTTGTTCATTGGGAGTGTCATTCATGACTTAATATATATATCATATAGTCAATATAGTCAGTATATATTCTTGCAGCTCTGGGATACAGTTTAGGTCAGCCTTGGCCCCCTCCAGATCTGTTGGACCACAGCTTTCATCATCCCCACCCAATGGCCCCATCCTCCCCATGTCCTCTTGTTTCTGCTCTTCCAAGGCTCTTTAAGACAGTTATTACTAAAATATCTGGATAATTTATAGTCTGACATTCTTTAAAATGATATTTTGCTGATCTTCGTCTATCCTATGCAAATCTGTCTCAAAGCAAGAGCAAAATGCTGGTAAATATTACCCGAGGTTTCAGGGTTCACTCAATTCTCTTACATTAAGTGAAGTGAGAGCTTTTGTCATGTTGTGCGTCACATTACATTAGACCTTAAAAATGTTGACATGCATTAGACTTGGAATGATTGCCAGCTCATGAAATGCGATAAGATTTATGACATCTGTCTCCCTCCATTTTCCTCATGGCAGGTGCCATAAATGCTAAGCTTGACTGAAGGGCTTCACAAAATCCTCTGGTCTTCCATTTAGAGCTAAACTTCCAGTGCTCTAAGAGCACTCCAAGCAGCACTTTTTAAGTGGAATTTAAATGGCTACACTTACTGGGAGTTTGCCAGAAATGTAGGATAAAAATCCTCCCAAGGTTTTAACACTATATTGCACGAACTTCCAGACTGTAAAAAGCTACAGAATGAACGATAGCAAGGAATGCTGGGAGGTGTTGATCTGCTCACTTCTTTTACCACTTCCTGCTTTCTGTAGGAAAAAGATGTCCGGAAATGGAAGGAAGAATTGCTGGACCAGAGGAGGAGGATGATGGAAGAAAAATTACTCCATGCGGAATTTAAGCGTGAAGTGCAGTTGCAAGCGATAGTGAAAAAGGCCCAGGAGGAAGAAGCGAAGGTGGGCCCACAGGGAGACGAAAGGTGGATTGTATTCTATTTGCAGAGGGAGCTCTTGGGCCACTCCTATTCATTTCAGTAGGACCTGCCCAAGAGCAGAGCGGCCTTCTAGATTCTTTGCAGTGTTTGTATTCCTTTGAAGAAGGTTTCCTAGGCAGCACCGCTGCACACTGTCAGAACTGAATTCACGTTCTTGGCAGTCGTCGTCCTTATCTGGGCTCTTAGGCCAAGAACCTTCCAGACAGGAGGTCCTGGAGAGATTGCGGCACAGTGGCAGAGCTCTTGCAGGCCCCAGGTTCTGTTTCCAGTGTCTCCAGGTAGGGCAGGCAGAACTGCTGCCTGAAGCTCTGGAGAGGAGCTGCCAGTCCGTGTTGAAAATACTGCTCTAGATGGACCAACCTCTTGATCCAGAACATCACAACTTCCTGCGTTCCTATAGATGTTTGGACCTACAGTGAGGAGTCAGTCCTTCCCGAAGGATTGCTGGCTTGGGCTGATGGGAGTCATAGGCTTTGGGCATGGTGGTTGGAGATTGGAGGGGATAAAATGGTTCTTTCTTCTTTCCTTCTCCAATTTCTTATGGGACGATCGATCTGCATTGGCCTGTTCCTCTCAGCATGCCCTGTTCTGTTTCTATTTCTTGCGGTCAGCTGGCTTGAATGGTGGCCCATAATGTTGGGATACCCATCTTAAAAGCAAATACCATTGGTTAGGCCCAAAGGTTCCTTCCCTCTGATGGGAGAAGACCTTCAGTCGATGGAACTAGTGGATCCAGCCCTGTGTTTCCCATGTTTTCTTAGCCGGCAGCAGCTATTTTTTGAGAAAGGGATGCTGTCTCATGTCAGAATAACTCGGTGTGTTCATGTGTACAACAGTCCCATGAATTTGGATGTCTTTGCTGTGCTGGTGATCTCTCTCTCTGCGTGTGTGTTTTGAGTGGGGAGTGTGCTGCATTTTCAGGGCTGACCGTAAATGTTAAGTCCTGTGTGGGAAGCAATGTATGTGATCTTTGAGGAGAGCCTGTATTCATTCGCTGGTCCTGAAACTCCTACACAGAGCATGGCTGACTACCTCCCCCATTAGAATGGCTACTTCGGTCGCTCGCTTTAGAATGGTTCTCTGCTTCCGTTTACCATTGCCATCGTTTTGTTAACCCCACATGACTTCTGGAATCAAATTAAGTCATTAACATAACAGAATTTCCGACCGAGCAGATGTGCTAAAAGTGTTGTGTTTGGCCGCAGAAGGTCTGCTCTCCCTCAGATCAAGGGATTAATTGGGTCAGAAGCAAGAGTGGGTGGGAAGTCGAGGAAGGGGGCCACGACTTCGGTTGGTGCCTCTTTTCTCTTAAATTCCCAATGCTGGCTGCCCACTGAGCTGCGAAATCCACTCTGTCAATGCGTTCCAGTCAGTAAACAAAGCAGAAAATCTGCCTTTCATTTGGCCATTTAGTATTCCTGTAGATTTCTAGGGTGGGGCTGAAACGGTGGTTGCTGTAACAAGATCAATGTCATGGTGTTACCAAAGGATTTCTGATGTTCTTCGTTCCAATCATTTGCATGCTTTCCCTTTCCGAAAACGCATTTCACAGCCGCTATTACATAAAGGGTTCCTTCTCATTGATACGATGCGGTTTTGCATGGCTTCTTTTGGACACGTTCCAATAACTGCTGGCTTGGTCCAGCACCAGGGACGACTCAAAAACGAAGCAAGCTGTCTCTGCGCCCCGAAATGATGTTGGTTTACAACTCCCATCATTCCCAATGGTTGGGGCAATGGGTCGATTTTGTGTTTTCTTATCCACCCACTAAGAGATCACGGTTGTTGTTCAGTAATATCTGTGAGCCCAAAGATTGGGAGCGGCTGTCTTGGAAGCTAAGCCTGTGATCCTGCACTGCAAAGACCAGGACACAACGTCCTCACTGTCATGAAAGAGCTACACTGGGGGAGCTCCCTGGGTACCATGGCAGTGTCCCACCACCGGAACAAGCGCCACAGGGTGCAGTTGTAGCTGTCATTATAGTTGTAGTTGAGATGTGGGCAGGAGAAGAGCACGCTTGAGGCAGAACCGGAGAACCTGTGGTCCTCCAGACCATGATGGGCTCCACCTCCCATCAGCCCTGTTCAGCATGGCCAGGGATGATGGGAGCTGAAGCCCAGCAATACCCCGAAGGCCACTGCTTTCTCCTCCTGCTGGAAACCTTCAGTCTACCGCCACAGTCCCCAGCCCTGGTGCAAGAGGCGTCCCCACTGCCCCCGGTTCCGCTCGGCACGTGGCTAAGCATCCTGGGTAAGCCCACACCCAATCCCAGCGTGCCACCTCGCTAGGCAAACCCCCTGCAAGGAGGCCGTGACTTGGGAGGTCAGCTGTGTAGCCTGAGCCTTGGTTTTTTCTGTCCCCGGGTCGTGCACAGTTGGCTCACAAGGGGGAGCTCTGGTGAGGGGAAACTCGAGGGAAAGTCTGGCATCTCAACAGGCCCCTGGAGACATTGCTTGGACCTCTTTGGGTGGAACGGTGGCGGGCCCCTCATCTTTGGGCTGGGGGCGCAATAACCCAACACCAGACTCCGATCCCCTAAGCCTGAACTGCTCTGCTCAGTTGAAGCGCTTGCCCATAAGGAGATGGCCGGCGTCCGGATATTTGTGGAGCTGCTCAGAACATCTTGTGGGCAATTTAATTAAGCTTTTGTTGTGTCTCGCCAAATTAAAGTCACGTAACCCCATCATTCTCTTTGACTGTTCTGAGAGTTGGAGGCTTTCCCAGTTTATGCACCAGGCCCATTCCCAGAGTTAAAAATATCACCAGGAGCTGCTGATTCATCAGCTGGGACTTCTGGAATTCTGAGTGAGAGAAATTAGTCAGCAGTATGGAAAACAGGCACATGAAGACGTCTTCCTTTGCGGCACTGATGATGAAGAGAGATGTGACAACCCTTCCTTCCTTCCTTCCTTCCTTCCTTCCTTCCTTCCTTCCTTCCTTCCTTCCCTCCTTGGTGTCATTTATTGTACTTCTTTGCTTCCCAAACATTGTGGAGGAGTGTTTTGATGTGACTCTTGCAAGCACTTTGCATAGACTGCAAAGCATTGGGTTGATGTGATGGACACAGAATGTCCAGGAACATTCCAGCTTCTTAGTGGGCAAAGCCATCAGAATGTCTCTAGGCCAGATTGTGTGAGAGAAGGCACGGTTGTCTGTGTGGGATTAAAACCGGCCAAGACCTGAGAGCAGCTTTTGAGCACAGGCTGGGAAGATGACCTAGGAGAGAGGGTTTCTAGGAGGGAGAGAGCCTAGTAGGGAGGCTGAGTTGAATTTTTTTTATAATAAGTTTTATTTGAAATTATAATCCTAAAAGAAAAACTAAAAACAAAATCAATCATCAAAAACATCGGGCCTGCTGGGTCAGCCTCCACATTTTTTTCTATTTACGATAACTTCAGAACATATTTAAATCTATACGAAGTCCCATTTCTCTAGCCAATAATAAAAAGAGTCCCAAGTTTGATAGAAGTGGCTTTGCGTTGAATTGATGGGAATGGGGAAAGCGTAACTGTAGGGGGCTTGAGTTGGAAGTAATCAGCCAATTATTTGGCTTCAGGCTTCTTATTAATATGTAATATCCTGAATATTTGTGATGTGCTTTATCTCCATTTTTTAAAACCACTTCTTCCTGGCTCATATTCAAAGTTTGGTTGAATTGCAGGTTAATGAAATAGCCTTTATAAATACATTGGAGGCCCAGAATAAGCGTCATGATGTTTTGTCCAAACTGAAGGAGTATGAACAAAGGCTGAATGAATTACAGGAAGAGCGCCAGAGGAGGCAGGAAGAGAAGCAAGCGCGTGATGAAGCCGTCCAGGTGATGCAATGAGATTTCGCGGCATTTATTGTACATCTTTGCCTCTCCCCCTTTTGAGTGTTCTTAAAAGTGTCACTGGCTTTACAGGTATGACATTCTGCAACTGGCATAACGCTCAGTGCTTAATTTCTGGCACCGTGGTAGCTTCAGGAGAAGCGTTTCGAAGTGATAAAATGCCAGGGAGCATTGGTCTATTTTTGAAGGCGTTTTAAAGAGAGGCCCCTCGAATAGAGACCCGAAAGGGAAAGTACTCGTTACCCCTTTCCAGGCATGCACAAGGAACTAGAGCTCTGAACTGCCCTCGAGCTCTAGCACCTTGCCAAGTACTCCAACACAGGCTCAAAGCCCGTGTGTCTAACTGCGCAGAAGACACAGAGAGGCCTCCGTGCTTCCCCTCCTGTCTTCCAGGTCCGGCCACAAAGCAGCGAAAGTGGTGCTGCAGCCCCTGCCGGGCTCATGTGCCCTGAAGTTCTCCAAAGCTCTTGCGACAAATTCCGAGAATACTGCCTGAGCATCCTGGCGTGTTTAAAAAGATGCTTTGCATGAGCGTCTTGTGTGTGCTTAAATTTGGGGGGAAGGCCCCTCGGGAACAAAGGGAGTTCCTTCCACGCGCTCGTGGCTAGAGTCAGGGTGGCCTGGGTGTGTTCTAGGGTTCTAGAGCACATGGATATATCCCAGTGCACGTTCTGAGGTCTCTCCCCGCCAGAGCTGTGGCCTGCCCAGAACATTTCACCTCGCAGGCTGCTTTGGGTGTCCTTTGCTCTGTTTTAAAAAGAAAACGTTTGTCCTCTAGGAACGTAAACGGGTTTTGGAAGCGGAACGCCAAGCCCGGGTGGAAGAGTTGCTAATGAAACGGAAAGAACAGGAAGCTCGGATTGAGCAGCAGCGGCAGGAGAAGGAAAGAGCCCGAGAAGACGCTGCTCGGGAAAGGGCCAGGTAGCCGCCTCGCGTCCCGGCGACACTCCTCTCTTCAGCACTTCTAGGAATCAGCGTGAAGGGCAGGCGCTTTTGGCTCTTTATGTTTTAGGCAAATTCACGTTAATTGACGTCCCGGTGAATATTTTAACAGCCATATCAGCGCCGGATGACATCTCTTCTTCATGCTGACAAATTGTTTTGCCATTCAGAGGGTTGCGCCGTTCAGTCATTGGGCTGCACAGGATAATGGGGCTGCGTAATCCCACTTCCTCCAGATCAATCAGGGAGGCTTTGGTGGGGGGGCACCGGATGAAAAGGGAGCATTAGAGCAGGCAGTTTGAATTTTCCTTGGGGTTGGTGCAGACACAGGCCATTCAATCAACCCTGAACAGGAGATTAGGTGTAGGCCTTGGAGTCATGCTCTCATCTTCCCCTGTCTTTCCACAGAGGTTTCCTCACCCTGATCTGTCTGATCCCAACTGCCGCAAAGCATTTCTCCATCGTTAACCTCGGTGGATGTTAGTTGGGGTTTTGAAAGCTGCCTGTTGTATTACACTTGCAGGCAAGGCAAAAAGGTGCTGTGATCGTCCATGTGGGGGCAATGATAAACAAGTGGATATTTTAAATATGTCTTTAGTTGCAACTTTTATACCTTGCTCTTCAGCCAGAAAAGGCCCCCAGAGGGGGGTTCATAGATGAATAAAAATACATTTCTGCAGGCTTGCAATCTAAAAGAGACGACACAAACTGAAACAGATTGGGAGGGGGAAAGCAAAATGAGGCCCAAAGACAGAGCCAGCCTGAAAGTTCTGATAGGCTTTCTTTCTGGCAGGGAAGTGCCAACCAGCTTCTGCAGCCGTTCCTTCTCTGGCTGGGCCAGGCTGGTCTCCCTTTGCCATGATTCCTGTCCTGGAAGGCAGGGGATGCCTCTTCCTAGTGGTTTGGCGGACACGTCTGCACTCCAAAGGGACTGTCAGGTGGTGTTGTGTTCCTTCCTTCAGCTCCTTGCAGCCACTCCCTCTGGCTGATGAAAACCGGACTGGTCAGCACCTAACGGAGATCCAGAAACCAGTTTATATGCATTGGGAAGCCATTCCCTGCTTCAGAACAAGGCGCTCTTGCACTAGGATGGGAGCAAATCATCTGGAAAAACGAACCGTTGTGAAAATTACGCAGCCACTTCTGTGGAGAAGAGCCCCCCGTTCACTCTGTCCTCTTTTCAGTGGGGCAGAAATAATAGGGAAGTTTTCTCACATCCATCATGGCCATTAAGGCCCTGTTGTAGGAGGGCTCTGTCTGTCAGCCTGCCAACTTGGATTTCCTCTGCCCAACATGGTACATCGATCTGATTATCAGAAAAGGTTTAAACACTGCTCCCGAACATACTAAAATTCAAAGAACTGCCATCCAGAGCGTCTTGCTCATATCGTTCACGCTTTCCCCATAACATGGTGAACTATCTGGGTTTGATGCAGGTGTTCTAAGATGGTTAATATATCACATATTTATTAAAGCCAAATGTGTGTGTGGTAATAAAAACGGGAACAAAAAGCTGGACCTTGAAAGGCATGATATCAGTTCCATGGTGTTTATTAGACTTTATCGTTGCACTGAGCCCCCAAGCGACAAAACACAGTTTTCCTCACTCCTGGAATGGTTTTCTGTGTCCAGGTGGGTTGGCTGGATACTCAGACTCTACTCACTTGTCACAGCTGCTGTTACTACAGTGGGTAAAGGCTTGGGAGTAGATGGGGCACATGGGTTAGCCCCCTTGCTAAATCTCAAGGGACCTTAAGAGCCCTTGGGGGCATATGCTTAGGATGGAATGGGGCGACTGGTAGAGATGCTTGGGTATTTGCACCAGGATTTCTAACTTGCAATTGTTTAGCAATGACAAAATGGCTTTTCCTGCCTGAATTAAACGTCTTGCTCTGAGAAGAGCTTAGGGCCTAGCCATGGGCTTGGGTGTCAGAGGGCTCGGGGCATTTCCGGAAGGGACGCTAAATATCTAGGCTTAGAAGGTGCTCCAGGTATGGGATCCTTTGCTTGCCAGCGTAGATTGCACACGTGTGCCAACTTCTCGGTCCTGAGTTAGGTCCCCAAACTGGCCCTTGGACTCGGAGCAGCCGAGTCTCCAAGGGCGGAAAGCTGAGAGACTGGCCTGTGTCGGCCCCTCTGCTAATATTGCCCACTACCACTCTGCATTTGGCTTGCCTGTCTGTTTCTGAGTTGGAGCCGCAGCACGCTTCTGACCCGCTTGTCTCGTTCCATCGCATCCCCGGCCCACAGCAGCCGCAATTCATTCTGTCCCTCTTGCAAGTGTATCAAATTGGGATAGACAGATGGCCTCTCCCTTCCCCGGTTTTTAAGATGTGTGCGTTCTTGTTGCATAGAGATCGAGAAGAGAGGCTGGCTGCCTTGACGGCTGCTCAACAGGAGGCCATGGAAGAACTGCAGAAGAAAATCCAGTTGAAGGTACGGCTCGAAAACACATTGCTTTTAAGCAGAGCTGCTGCCACTTCTTGTGGATTCCGTATTTAGCAGCTATTGGGGCCATTCAGTCAGTTTAATTCAAGGAGACAATTGCAGGCAAGAAGAAAAGATGCTGCAGAACAGCAACAATGAAAACACCTGTCAGGTTTTCTCTGCTTGCTGGAACATCTCTGCTTTCCCTTTCTTGTTAAAAGTTAGTCACCGTTTCTTCCCAGATCCAGAAGGCCGTTCTTCAGTTCACTGTTCAGTGAGTCATGGGCAGCTGATTCCCCCTCTCGGTGCTCCAGGCTTTTGACTCGCACCCCCTTGCTTGGGAGCCGCATGCATTGCATTGCTGTGGTTTGCCAAGTATCACGTCACTCGTCATACAGGACCCTTCAAGTCCTGTCAGTCAGTCCTGGGAATAGGGGGAAAGGATGGTACGGTGGGGGAACCACGGTCAGTCCAAGCACTGGAAGTTGGGAACTCTGGGAGGCGTTGGAAGGCATCTCAGCGTGGAGAAGGACAGGAGGCATAAGGTTCTGCAGAGTCTCAAACTTCTATCCCGTCGTAACATTCCTTGGAAGCCCTGTGTCCCCGGGAAAGGTCACATTTGCCATGGCCAGGACTGTTTTGGTTAGTTCTTAGGATTTTCTAAAAATACTTTGACTCCGTCCAGCAGCTGGGCAGTTGAACGCTCTGGGCATTATTTTGTCTGTCCTAAAATGCTTCAAATACATCCATTTTTGTGTAACGAGTTGTCCCTTGGTGCTCAGCACGATGAGAGCATTCGGAGGCACATGGAACAAATCGAGCAACGGAAAGAGAAGGCAGCCGAGCTGAGCAGCGGCAGGCACGCGAATACGGACTACGCGCCGAAACTCACGCCCTATGAGCGAAAGAAGCAGTGCTCGTTGTGCGGTGTCTTGGTAAGAGTCGCGTTGCTGGGGGCGGGGGAGGGTGATTTCCAAAATCCCTAGGAGGGGCCCTAAAGTTTATCTAACTGGGCGATTGAACATTGCAGTCTGAATGTTTGTCCCGCAGTGTAGTTTGGTGATGGCTAAAGGGGGGGCGCCTTTCCCACATTTCACCCATCAGTGAAGTCGAGAAGGTGTATTTGGGGCTCTCCTGTGAGAGCTCTCCTCTGTCCAGGTGCTGACAAGACCCAGACCAGACCTGCTGCAGACAGGTAGCCGTGCCCTGCGCCACTGGACCAGTGGCATCCTGGGAGCTGTGAGGGCAGCCGATTGCTAATATAATACGATGAATTTGGGACATCTGGACCACGCAGGGTTAAATGCCACATATCATTTTGGATGCTAAGCATTCTTGTCACTGAGCCTAGCTCCTCTGTACTAGAACTGCCGTGTAAATAAGCCCTAAGGAGTTGCTAGCCTGCACGGTTTTTTTGACTTGCCTACGAAGAGGCTGATAATCTGCATTTTTCTGTTTGTACCAATCGGTTTTGTCTATGGTAGGTTTCCCTGAGCAACACAATTAGCAGCAGGCCTTGCAGCTGACCACCATGCATTTTGTCTTCTAAGCAGTACATAGAACATTAGACTGCCGTGTAATTTGGTTCAGGAAAAATACTATCCCTTTCCAGATTTCCTCAGAGGTCTACCTCTTTAGTCATATCAAAGGGAAGAAGCATCAGCAGGCGGTGAGAGAAAACAGCAGCATCCAAGGACGGGAGCTTTCGGATGAAGAAGTGGTAGGTCATTTTTGTTTTTCCCCTGTTTCCAGCTTTACTGTTTCACTGAAATAGTAATGTTTGGTCAAACTATGTTGGCACCCATAGATGTCTTGCAGAATAGCTCTGTGGACAGGGTGGGTGGATCGATGTGGGTGGACTGGCATATCCACCTGTAGAAGGAAGGGAAGTGTGCACACATTTAGGGGCTGGGAAGTACATGGGTAGGAAAATTGCACCTGAAAGGAAACCTGAAGTAACTGCTTGTAGTACAGAGACAGGTATAGTAAACTGCATTGGAAAAGTCCAAGGAATCACAAGCACCTTGCCCTTTACAAAGCACCGCCGCGATCAGGTCTCTTTCCTTTTAGTAAACATGACCAGGACCAGCTTTTAATGTTCTCCTCCTTGCAGAGAAAATGGACAGAGAGTATTTTTCCTTCTTCCAAACCATGAGAACCTGTTGGTCCCCTCACCAATTGAGTGGCAGTAGATCTAAGTCAAACAAAAGAAAGCAGATTTTTGTACAACTCGTTCATTAATTTAGGGAATTAATTTACAGCTTTAAAAATAGACTAGCCTCGTCGATGGAGGATTGCCATTTCTAACCCACTCTGAACAGAGACAAAAAGGCCTCTGGGTGGTGGGGGGGAACCAGCATTGGAAGGAAGCTTTTGCCTCTGTGGAAACATGCTGGAGGTCTAGGTAGATTTCCTGGTCTGATGCAGCAGGGTTTTAATGGTCTTAAAGGGTTGGCAGTGGAAACTTCCTTTTGTTATGGACTGGATCCTACATTACAGCCTTATTATCCGCGATACATCCCTCTTTCAGGCTACACCCAACAGAGCAGATGATGAATAACTCTCCAGGGAGCAGGGAGCCTTTTGCTCCAAGGCAGTCTTGTTCACCTGAAGGTAGTTAGCTGCTCCCGTAATTTATTGAATTCACTCTATTTTGGTTGGCCACGTATCATAACACCGCTCTAGCAAAAGGCATCTTCTAGATTGCAGAATGCATTCTCATCGAGCAGGTGCCGCCCTGGGCAAAATTTCCACATTCACGACTAGAATACATAGGGTGCAGTTGCAGAACACAGGCGTAAAAAATGAGCGCGCGAGTGAGCTATATTGTATTTGTCCCCAGCCCCCATTTCATTTTTAATCAATGAAGGTACCCATAGCTGAACGCACTGTTCCTACTTAAAGTTATTGCTTGTCGCCTCTGATGTCTTCATATTGAATGGCCCTTCTTCTTTGATGTGTAAGATGTTATTTATGCCACCTCTGACCTAAGGAAATCTCACCTTTCACCCCCTGCACTTGACACTTCAGACAGCATACACTTGATCCTTGACACATTTTTGTTTTAAGTGTGGGACAGATAATGGCAGAAGAGCATCATTGGAGAGCTCAACAGGGGCTTTCTGCCGTGTTCCCTTAGCCGCTGCAGAATTCGCCTTGAGCAGGTAAAAATCCTATTGCAGAAGAGCCGGGGACAGAATCCAGGGCCCACCTGGATAAGCCTGGCTCATTTAATGGCTCTTACCTTGTTCTCAGGATGTAACCCCTCGACTGTGCTAATGTCAACAGGAAAAAAACTTAGAAAATGTAATTATTTTTTTGAGGGGTCTTGGTTTTATTTTAATTGCCTTTCCACTCTCTCTCTCTTGCTTAACTCAATTACCACAGGCTCCAGAAAACGTCAGCTTTTTTGACAAGTGTTTGTTTGCTTAGCTTGCTTCTGGGCCTGGGTACTTTATACTGAATGATGGTCTGCAAGGAGCCACAATTTTAGGTCATATATTGGGTTAAATTTCTGAATGGGCAGTCCTTTCACTCTGATGAGGAGCAAGCCTGCAAGCCATCAGTTGTCAAAGGATGACTGGGCTATCGTACCTGTGTGTCTGCGTGCGGGACTGAGTTTTTTCCTGAGTTAGAATTCCACTCCTTAAAGGTCTGGCAAATTCCAAAGTTGTTTCATTGGAAATTATGCTGGAATGACTTCCAGAGAAAAGCTGCCTTCTTGTTATGGAAAGATTTGTTATGCTAAATAAGTCCCGGACTCCTTGTTTTTATTCGTTAAATGAAAATTTGACACCCCACCTCCACCCCCCTCGGTAGCACAATGCTGGACTTCATCGAGTGCAGAAGTTCTGTTTGGTTGTAAATCAAGGTTTGAATGAACAACTGAGAACACGCTTTCTTTAAAAAACGAACTTCTAATGGAGGGGTTGATTAGAGTGATTGATTTAAATAAAGGCTTGGTGGTGATATAATTTGTCTTGATTTTAAATCAATTCACTGTGCAAGCCTGGCACATGAACTCCAGTCAAGTTGGAATTACACTGTGAGTAAAAGGCCAAGTCAACTGAGAGCGGCTCTCTCTCCCCGATGGCCTTGCCACTCATAGCAACACACGGCTTGGCGCTCGTGTTCCAAGGAGACCTCCCCGGGAAGGAGTCCGGTTGACCCGTGATCGACTGAGGTTCCTCGGACCGCTCGTGGTGTCTGCATGCATGGTCCGGCCACCCCGTTACTTGGTCATCGCCTGTTTTGCTGCATGCAGTTGCTGATGTGAATTGCTAGCATTCATTCATTCATTCATTCATTCATTCATTCCGTCCAATGCCACAGTCTCTGGATGGCTTACAAAGCAACAGCATAATAACAGACATACTGCATCTGACCATTAGTGATAAAATCAAAGATAAAACCAATCAAATGTTAAAATGTCGGGAAATTAAAAAGGGTTTTTTTTAAAGATGCCGAACAGAATACAGCAACGATGCCAGCAGAGCGTGGCATTGCCCTCCTTTGGGTCTTGGAGTCTTTGCTCTCTGGCGGTTGGTCCAGAGCAAGGCCTGGATGAGTCCCATTCCTAGCACACGGGTTTGCAAGCGCTTCCGCATGGTGCCACGCATCTCACATCCTGCCGTTCGTGCGCTGCAGCTGCGAAGGTGCATCTTGAGCTTTTGATTCCCGTCGGGGACAGCTGCATTTTTCTGCATCACCACATTCACAGTAGCCACTCAGGTTTTTTTTTTAAATTGGTGGAGGAAACAGGAACATAACTGGGAATGTGTCTGCAGCACGTAAGTTTCTGGCCATAGCTGAAATGCGAAGAAGCACAGCAGTGGAGGTGCAGCCTTTGTGTCATCGGGAGAAGCTGCTCTGGCACGGCCCCTGCACTCAGATTTCCCCGGGAGGCGGGTGGCGGTGGTGACACAGTCCTTGGCAGGAGGTGTGAAGCTTTCCGGGAATGTCCCCATTTTCACCTGTGACGTGTTAGGCAGGGGAGTGGGTACCCTTCAGGCTTCCGTGATCTACTCCCCTTTACTGGAACCCCGGGCTCTAGCACAGCCAGCTGTAAAGCAGGGAAAGGTGGAGAGAACACTTGAGAATTTCGGAGCAGAGCAGCCCTGCATCCTGAGCCGTACCGGGACGACCCACACCAACACCTTCATCCAAAAATGCACTTCTGACCCCCCCCCCCCCCCGGTGTTCCTTTGCATTGACCTTTTCCTTCACCGTTCCTCTTAGCTCGTGCTAGGCAGTCGGGAGACAGAAGCTCTTGCTGTTCTGTCGCACATCACACGGATCTACCGGTGAATCCCCTCGGCCATCTTCCCACTTGGGCATCTGAGAACATGGTGCAGCAGGTGAAGTGGGAATCGAAGCATAATTGTTGGGCCTTTGAGGCCCCATATGAGAAGCGCCCTGATGGATCTGCCAGTGCTTCGCATCTTCCGTGCAAACAGCTGCAGGAGTGTGTACTATCCAGTGTCCCATACAGAAGGTGGGGTCACCACACTCCCCCGAAGGAGCTAGTTCGTAGCTTGAAGCTTCTCCTGGATCCATCTTTGCCACTTGAGGCTCAGGCATCCAGCGGCTCGGAGTGCCTCCTGCCTCCTTCCACTGGTGACCCAGCTGCACCCCTACCTGGCCAGGGATAGCTGGGCTTCAGTACTCTGTGCTCTACTAATCGCTAGATTACTGCAAGGCACTCTGTGTGGGGCTGCCCTTGAAGACTGTTCAGAAGCTGCAGCTCATACAGAATGCAGCAGCCAGAATAATAACTGGAGGGCCAAACATGCAAGACTGGATCTGGGCCGCTTGCACTGGCTGCCTGTATGTGCCCAGGCTCAATTCAGGTTGCTGGTTTTAACCTGTAAAGCCTTACGCGGCTTGGGACCACATGGCCGCGTGCTCATCTCCCGGCTACAATCAGCTGCGACACCCTGTTGGACCACCAGGGTCTTTCCCCAAGTGCCAGCTCTGAGGAGGCTCAGAAGCTGGTAACAAGGGGGTCCCTGTAGCGGCCCCCACCTGGCACCAAATTTGTCATCCTTTCAGCACCAGGTTCAGGTGGCCCTTTGTGTCAAGGCCAGGTATTTTTTCGGAGTTCTTCATAATTGCTTTTGGCTTTAAGCCATTTTAAACATTCTAATGTTTGTCTGTTTTTATGATGTTTGTATTGTATTTTATCATCTCGTTTTTATGGATTGTGGCAAACTGCCCAGAGAGCTTCTGCTATGAAGTGCTGTAGAAATGAAAATATAATAATACTTCTCCAGAATCCAAAGAACTCCAAATTGTGTCCGTTCAGCCTTTGAGACTTGGTGCTTTGCAAACAGAGAGCCCCCTTCCTCCCAGTTCTGCCCAGTCAACTTGTTTTCAGATCGTTGGGACTTTTCAAGGAAGTGTCTGTGAGGAGAAGAAAGCGGAGGAAGATTCTTTGTTTACACTCAAGCCCAGGGCTGTGCCTGTAGTAACTCTGTATGGATCTGAGCTTTGGTCTTCGTCTTGCAAGGCAGCCCTGTTGATGGACTGGGAATGTTTCAGATTAAGCCGAAGCTTTAGGGAGATTAGCACATCTTACTGGATGTCAGGCTGCTTTCAGTGCCGAAGCATCTTCAGATATTTGTGCACAACCTTTTTGAGCTTGCACTCCATTCCCTTTCCAAGGACCGGAGTGTTCGCTTCAGCAGAGTAAGCTTACGTGAATTTGGAAAGCGATCTTATTGCCAGCAAATACGCGTAACCTAACCAGAGGTGATGCTCAGGGAAGCATGGCATGCGTATCACCTTTAGGATTCACAGTCTGCCGTTGACATTCAATACCTTCCAAGCTACTGGTTGGACATCCTTTTTCCTTCGCACATCAGAGACTAGATCTGCCCGCCGTGTTAATCCCCCTGCTTTGATCTCTTCTTTGAAGACGTGACAGTGCGTTGTGACGCGACGTGTTATTACTCTCCCTTTTATTTAGCACGATGAACTTTGAGATTAATCCAAGCTGCTGTGACTGAAAGCTGAGAACGCTGAGAAACCCCCTTTGCGTGCGTGTAGCTGCCCCAGTTCGTTGTGATGGGTCGCATATTTTGCAGCCCTCTCGGGTCGCGTTCCCGAAAGCAAAGCCTCTCTCGCTTCTCAGAGAAAGATGAACCAATATGTGTGTTGAATTCTTAACGTTCCGATGAGATGTCTGTGGAGGTGCAGACTGGATACCTCAAGGGGTGAGAGCTACTCCCTCCCGATAAGCCGGAAATTTATCCTTTATTGCTAAGTGTACAGGAGAAGCCAAGTGAAAATCAGTGTTTTAGAGGAGGGAATTAATGTTTCCACTCTTCTGCCATCAGATGAAAAAGGCTAGGTAACAGTGCTGCTGAGCACAAGAGTCACTTAAAATCCCCGGGGCGAGTGTACATATTTCTTTCACGCTGTCTGCGGGCACGTTGGCTCTCCGGCTTTTGGTCCTAGCCCCAAGACCTGGCGGCTTTCCTTTCGTCCCAACGAGGGCCGCTTGTCGGAAGGAGTCGCTCTTTTTCCTGCCTTACAGCGCCATCACTGCCGATGGCCAGAGGTGGCACTGCAGCTACGAGTCCAGCAGGCACCAGTGGGGTCACACCCGTCCTTGTAAAGCTGCTGGCTTGGGTGCTCAGATCATCGTCTTCTGCCACGCAGCTGCCGGATGAGCTGCCTTTGTCCTTCCCCAGTTTCTTGCCTGCCCACCTGCATCCAGGCGCCCTGACGTTTGCCGACGACAAGTGCAAAGAAGTCTGCATGGCCGTATCGTGTGTTCGGCTTCTGGGCACTTACAACGTCCACACCTCTGTCAAAGCATCTTCAAAAGTGCAGAGTCTCGGGCACACCGGTCAAAGCCGGCACCTCCGGGATCCCAGTCTAGTGCTCTGGGTTTCCCAGAGAACCATCCTGTCTTTACTGGGCCCCACCCCTTTCCCCCAAAGGTTCCCGGCTTTCCCGGCCTTTGTGCAGCCTTTTTCCCCTTCGAAAAGGTTGCACTTTTCCTCAGAGGGCTCAGTTACTGGCCGTTACCAAGCAGAAAGATGCTGGTATTTCTGGCCCCATCCCGTTGGTCTCTTGGCCCACTTCCCAGTGGAATGTGGCCCCTGAGAGCTTGTCTGGCATGGGTTTTCACTCTTGAGCTGAAGGAGGGATGACATTGCTGGTGTGAGACGATGTAACCTGGAAAAGGGGGTAACCAACCTTCATGAATGGAATTCACTCCCCTGGGTTATGTTCCGACGGCTGCTGCCTTGGTTGGCTTTCAGATGGGATTCCATACATTTCCTGGACGTCTCTCTGCAGCGATTAGCAGTGAATGACCATTTTGTACCTCCAAATCTAATGGAAAGTTTACCTTTGAGTCGTGGATGCTGGGCAGAAAACCAGGGGGGAAGCTGTGAAATCTGCTCCTCTGTCGGATGGATGGAATGAAGAGGAACCTCGGGCTCCCCTGTGTTCTTCTCAGCCACCTCTTTGATCAGGAGATTTGGGGTGATCCTGTGCCTTCCCCCTTCCTCCTTTTTGGTTTGATGCCAACCCTGAGGAGTTTTCTGAAATGGGAAAGCCAGCACATCCTTGTCTATGCTGCCCCAAGGCTTCGTTGCGATGGGGCAGCATAGAAATGTTTTAAATAAAAATAAATAAATAAATAAATATGCAAGCCTTCCTGGGCTGGGTTTGCAAATGGGCTCTCCATCAAGATCACTCGCTCGGTGGCCGTCTCCACCATCCATGGTGCCCACGTGGTCCAGGTGCAGCTTCAGATGGAACTGGCAATTCCGTCCTTTGAGGTCCGTGCTCCGTAGGGAACAAATCTGACTTTGAATAGGCCCTGCGCTTCTGATGCCTCCATCACGTTTCCTTATGTAATATGCATCTTCTGTAGCAGCCACCCCGAGAACAATGTCCTTAACGAACCACTTTTAAACAAATGCAGTAAATAAATAATAAATAAAATAGACATTTTGTAAGCCAAAAACACTGCTTTATCTTGATAGTTCTAAAAAATACACCCCACCCCCCAAATCTGCCATGTTTAATAATTTCTTCCCTTAGTTTGGATGTGGACACTAAAACCCAGTGGAAATAAGGTGTTTCCTGTGTTTAACTCTTCCTTCCATCCTTTTTTTTCCTTCAGGAACACCTGTCATTAAAAAAGTACATTGTCGATATCATGGTAGAAAGCTCAGTCCCAGCAGAACCCTTAAAAGACGGTGAGGAGAGGCAGAAAACGAAAAAGAAAGCCAAGAAACTAAAGGCACGGATGAACTCCAGGTATATTTTTACACTCCGGTTTTGCTGCATGTAAAGCATGTTTTGTTTTTCTTTTGTCCTTCAAAAAATTGCCTTGCAAATCTAAAAGAAAAAGAAAAAAAACCTCTGAAGTTATTTGCTTTAGGAACATCTTGAAAATAACACTGATGAGCCTAATTTATGGCCACTTTCTCTGATTGAGGAAGAAAACTGAATATCGATCTGGAGCCCTTGCGTTCACCTGTTAAGAGCTTTCCTCGTAATTGGAATGCCAGAGCCCTGCCAAAACTCTAGCCTCTTCTAGCATACAATAGTATGTTTAAGTATGTGTAAACCATGCCTATTTTTCTTCTGAGCTATTGATTTTTAAAATGAAGTATCAAAGAAAATCAATAGTAATCAACAAATAGAAGCCAGTCGGCTGGAGTGTCAAATCCCCAGGCTGGGTTTAATCAATTTTGTTGCCTGCCACAACAAGGAAAAGTTAGAAATATCTTAAAATGGAAAGTGAGTTGTCAGACCTGCAGTTTGTCATGGGCCTAAAATGTGACATCCGCGGATCAGAATGAAATGAGGGGCATCGCTCCATCATGCGCTTGCCGCGGAACTGCAGCGTCCCAGTCGGAGGTTATCTCTAGCCCAATCTAATCTGTCATTAATATTGTTGTTCTTTAAATGACTTCCTATTTAAAGGATTCCGTTCACTTAGTCAAAATCCATTATAGGCAGTGAAATATTGGCACCACTGTTTTTAATTGCCAGGGGGACCTGTGTGAGTCCTCTCGGTAGCGTTGTCGTTACGCCGGAGTTCTTATAGCTTCAGCAGCAATATTATATTGTAATTGGAATGGCTTTGCACTTACATAGCAGATCTCCCAGCCTTTAATTTGCATACACTAGGTTTTTTCCTTCTCCTGTACACATGGCCAATATCACAAATATTTATTATTTAGTGTGCAACTCCCCCTAGATGAATTGATACATTTCTGGTATTTGCAAGAACAGGGCGGCGATAAAAACACAGCATGACCTTACTGTGCATTCAGTAGAACTTCACAATGCAAAAATAAGAGATCTGTGGGTCAAAACAACCTTTCCCAATCTGCCGCCCTCCAGATGTGTGGGACTACAGGTCCCATCATCCACTGTTAGAGATCAGTGCGTTGCTGCTGCACGGGCGTGGTTCTAATCATTCTAGGTCTATAGTCTCAGTAAGTAGGCACATCATTATTTTCTTTGCTTTTGAGCAGAAAATAGGTTTTATGGTAGTTAAAGTTGAACCAGCTCAGCTGAGTTATGTTCAGCTGCTGAATCTTTGAACCCGAATGAGACAAGGATCGTGTGTGAAACCCGCAGTCCAGTGGGGCACAAATGAAAGGCACAAATGAAAGGTGTGGGTAGTGCCATCCTAAGCCGGTTTGTCTCCATTCCTTTAAAATACTTAAATGTCGCCCGTCATCATTACTAAATTTCAAGGCAATCTACAACAAACGTCCAGATTTACTAGAAAAAGCTTCCTGAGCGCCTAATGGAGCTTGGTCCTATGTCAGGACATTTTCCAAATGTGCCATCCCAGCCCCTGAAACCTGGCGAGAAAAACCTTTTAGTGATCTCAGTGTCTGCCTGCATGAGCTCAATGCCAGTCCAAGATATTTTGCTGCCAGTAGCCAAGATGGCATCCCCTCTTACTCTGTTTGCAAAAGGCAAAAGGCAGTTCCAGCCTTCTTTGACTCTGATCATGGCACCCTCTGCCACAGCATCGGGAATGCCAGGCAGCTGCTGTGGCACACAGGCCCTCTTTCAAACCGTGGCTGCCTCTTTCCAACATCTCCCGCCTCCCATTGCCTGAAAGGTAGGGTTGTGTCTTCAGGAGCCCTTCCGTTGATTCCCCTAAGCTTTGGGCGTAGCTTGCCAACATGCTGTAAAATTTGGGAAACTTTACACCTTTCTGTAGACTCTTCAGAGCTTTCCTTTTTGCACAGACCCTTTCTGGCCAGCACTTTGTTAGTGGTTTTTAATGCCAGCTCTGTATGTTTTGTCTGCTTGTAATTTTATTTGTACTGCTAAATGTTGTACCTTGCTTTGGGAATTTGACAGGATGGAAGAAGACACTAAATATAGTGCAGAGAGAGAGAGAGAGTCCGTAAGAGTGAAGCCTTAGTGTTTAATCTACTTAGAACACGTAATTTTAATTGAACGCTTTCTGCTGTACCTTTAGCTCACTGCTTGGCACAGCTATAAGAAATGGTAAATATTCCGTATATTGAGGAGGAAATCGCTCATACCCAGTAAATTCAGGCGATTATAATGGATGCAGCAGTGAAGGCCCTTGTTTCAACGTGGAGGAAGCCTCCGAGAATCCAGTGGGACTCGCTTCCGATAACACGCTGAGGATCATGCTATAGGGAATTTCAATTTCAGTGGTTAGATCCAGAAATATCTGGAAACAGATAGGTTGGAATTAGGTTAGATTTCAGATTTAAAGAAATTAATTAGCTGGGGGGGGAGTAAAGGATTGGCTGGAGACCCATTTTTAATCCATCTACAACATGGGCTTGGAGTTGGGTTATCAGCATAATTTATTCTGATATGCATTTGTAGCTCTAGTGCCCGCAGTCAAACGGCACAACACTTGTCCATCTTAAGAACATAGAATGTTTAACATACTTCAGAAATTAGGAAATGGTAAAGTATTACAATTGAGGACAAGCAAGTAAATGCACTCAGATGGACTTTTATTGCATTCCGAGTTGTTAAATCTTAAATCAGAATACGAAATCACCCATAATGGCAGAGGTGAACGAAGGGGCAACCTGTGATCAATGCAATATCTATTCTCTTAAGTTTTCTTGGTCTTATTAATAATATTTATAACCCCAAGCCATTAAGCGAGTGCTGCTGTCGCTGATATATAGCAAAGTAAATTATTCCATATTAACATGTATGTGATGCCATCAAAATAACACTTTGAGGTCTTTGTAGTGGATTGGTGGACGCAGCTAGATTCGACACTTCCCAAAACCGTTGGCAGTGGTTTTCAGTTCAGTGGCAAATTAATTTGGTTTTCTGGATGATGTTCAAGTTGTGTTGTTTATGCCAATATTTAGAAATAACATTTTTAAATGTTCTTGCAAGTGTGAGTTATTATATGAACTTGGAGGTAAGGATCATCTGTCTTTCTGGACAAAACAAGTCCAGTTTGCCAAACTAGGTTTAGATTTGGATTTGAGTTTAAGCTTATTTTTGAATGAGAAAATGGCATTATATAGGTTAAGACAGAGCTTATGTTGCACATCTTGGGTTAGCCAAAAAAACAAAGAATGGCTTACCTTTCAGCAAGCAAGAGGGAAAGTATGAACTAAACGAGAAAGATAATTAAGGGGTAAAGGATAGCCCAAGGCATGCATTTGTGGAAGATAAATATTTGCAGAACGTACAAAAGCTACTTCTCACTGACTTTGTGCAAACTTGAAAATCAACTTCCTTACTTGTCACTATAATCATGTCATGTCTCTCTCTGAATCCTTCCTTTCTCCTCTTAAATAAAGGTCATGCTTTTCATCCTTGTCTTAAAAGCTTTTCATACTTCTGCCTCTCCCTACTTCGCCACCCATATCTGTCTGTCCGTCCGTCTGGTGCACCCGATCTGCTTAGAGAATCTAGCCGGTTTTGGAAATGACTAGAAAGAGTAAATAAGAAGTGCAATTAACATGATCTTTTTCTCCTTACAACATCAAAGGAGGATACCTTCAATGGGTTTGGATGACTGTGACTTTTTGTATTTTAAAGGCTGAGCTGCAAAGCAGTTGGTTGTGCTGGATAGAGAATATTGCTAGAGTTTGTTAACTCAGCCACTATATAGAATGCGTAACTCTGTACAACGTGTTGAATTCGGTTAGTGTGAATTCCTAGTCCTCCAAGTGCAGAAGAGAAAGTCGAGGGCTGGTCAGTAACCCTGTTGTGGATGGGCCGTAGGGTTTGCATGTTGTTGTTGTTATTATTAGAACATTTCTATGCCGCCCCTTGCCGAAGCCTCGGGGCGGCTTACAACACAATAAAATACAATACAATATAAAAATAACAATATAAAATTAAAATTAATAATATAAAATAAAAGATATAAAAGAAGTTATAAAAGAAAAGAAAAGAAAAGAAAAGAAAAGAAAAGAAAAGAAAAGAAAAGAAGTCGCCCTGGCCAGATAAATAAGTAAATATTGTTAACAATTAAAATCACGTTTAAATAAAAAGATCTTCACCTGGCACCGAAAAACAAATAACGACGGCGCCAGGCGGACCTCTCTGGGGAGCGCGTTCCATAGATTCCATGTTCCTTCACCTAACAGTCCATCTTTCCTTCTCAGCAGAATTCCAGTGGGATCTAATGGTTCCACAGCTGGACTTCGATTAAGAGGCCTGAGCTCCTTGGTTATTAGTGACTGAAAATGTGAGAATAGACACCAGTCCCCGGTCTCACCTACAGTTAAGGGTGGCATCAGCTGTAGTTCGTTGACTGCATCCTGTTTTTCTTACAGGTAGTGACTGTGACCTAGATCCACTGGTCTTTTCAACCGCTGGTCCGTGGACCGGTGCCGACCGGCAGGAGATTCCCTGCTGGTCACTGGGGGGCCGCGTCCTGCTTGTCGTGGGCTGGATGTGCCCCACCACCTCTTGGCTGGCATTGTGTTCCTGGGGTGGGGGGCGCTGGTGCTGCCAGCGGGGCCGGGGAGGGGAGAGACCGATACCAGTATTTTGTTCTTTTGTTGGCATTCTGTGTTGTTCGGTTTCTGGCTGTTTTGGAGAATTCTCTTTTTTTTGGTGTTGTGTTTGGAAACGAATACACAGAATTCTGTATTATGTGTCCGGTGCTTTTTGTTTCTGCCTCAGAGGTCCCCAAGGTGTTTTTCCTGTTTTTGCCAGTCCCCCAGCCGTGGAAAGGTTGAAACCCATTGATCTAGAGGATCGTGGCCAGGAAAGCCAAAAGCCAACCATAATCGACATCTCGCATTAAACCTACTTTTAAAAACCCCAAACCTGTCAGAATTGGAGACTTGGCTAGTGAAAACGATCAGCTCAGTTGAGCCGAGCTCTGGAGAGCTTGCTTGAATGGCTGTTCATGGTTTCCGGTTAGTTGTGTGTGCTCGCTTTGTTGCATTTTTAAAAGTATTGTCAGGGGACCCTTGTCGGTGAAATAGCCCAATACCTCGTCGTGTGTTTCTCTCTCTGCTGGGTTCTACATGCCCAAGCGGAGGAGCTGGCGGTGCTGCGTCCACGAGATGCCGTTTGGATTCAGTGTTGCTATCCAGGCCCATGTAACATGGGCATCTGGATGGGCCAGTGGATCCTGTCTTCGCCCGAGCCGGCTCAAGCAAAGTTAAACGGTGTTAGAGCAACGGTTGTCTTTGTCCTTGGCACTTTGGCCTTTTGCCAAGATAAACATGAATCTTTTTTAATTGTCAGAACAGGTTTGTGTGCCGGAAGCCTCCTCTGAATTCCCGAGAAAGAAGTAGCCTCTCATGTACAGCTTGTCTTTCCATTACTGTTAGGCAGCTCCAACAACGTAATAACAATAGAAATATCTTTATTTCCTCCAGAACATGCTCAGCCGTCGATGCTTATCACGGCTCTAAAAGTTTTCGGTTTTTCAGCACGCAGGAGTGAAAAAAGGGGCAAAGTCACTTGACAAGCTCTTAGTTGTAATTGTCTGCAAATTAAGGGAGTTTTCGAAAAGGCCTGCATGCTTCTACTTTTTCAGTTATATGGATGGCAGTGGCGGCAGGGGAAAAACAGAGCTCAAATGGTAAAAAGTTTACAGTGCAAACTGTGCTTTGTTGTGTAAGCCATAAACAATACTTTAAAATATTTTCTTCTGCAGGGCAAAAGAATATGAAAATGCAGTGGAAGCGAAAAGCATCCCCAGTGACTCCCCCTACAAAGCAAAGTAAGCATCTCACCTTGACTCAGAACTAGAAAAATGGCATTTCTGGAATATATAATTGCAATGTCACCCACGTACATGCTGCTTTATTTTTATTTTACTGCTTTGATTGCGTGAATGGATTTTTATTTGAGGACAAACGTATTTATTTTATGTAGTATTATCCATATTATAAATATATTTGTTATTGGCCAAATGCATTTCTGATTACATTTGTATTTATTACGTTACCACATTCCTGTAGCACCTTTTTTCCTCCAAGAAAAGACCCAAGCAAGCTTAAAAATGAAGAGACACCTGGTCGTTGCCCCACAGGACTTAAGGACTAGAAAAATAGGCACCTTGGAGATAATAGGAGAAGGGGTAGGGGAAAGATGAAAATAAGGCTAGTACAGTTTGCATGAACTTCGTTACCATAGGGCAGGGGTGGGAATATTCTTTTATCTCCCACCAACCACCCCAAATGATCAGATAGGAAAGCGGTAGTAATCTAACCGTATCTGATGGATCACAACCTTCCTACCCCAGCAGAAGAGTAACTTGAAATTCTTTCTGGCATTTCCTTCTGTTACTTAGTACCCCACGTATTCTTTCCTCCACCTTTGTTCGAAACGGCCTAATTCCTCTCTCCTTCTCTTTCCTGCCTTCCAAGGGAACCTGTGTACATCACCTAAGGGCATTCAGTTCTAAGAAACAGCCCGATTTTTATATTTTCAGAAATGGGGTATTAATCTTTAGTTGTTCTCTTTATCTCAGCAGCTTTACGTGCAACCCGAAACCTTCCCCGCACTTGATGCAGCCTAATTTGAATGTCTGCTGCTTTCTCTCACATTCCATCTTCAGGCTGACTAAACGCACATCTGTAACTTGAACATCACCCACCTTTTCCCTCCCTCCCCCCTCCCCCTTTTTTGCTTTGTTGATGATCACTCACAAGATTACTGTAAGATATCCGCGTCGTGCGGACGCACAGAGAGGAATCTCGCTGAGAGACTTTCAGAATTATTTGGTGGAAGCGGGGCTGGCAGCAAACCTTTGCCGTGTACAATTCTTCCTGAAAGACGGATCTGTGCGCTAGCCAGCCATGGGGCCTAGCCGGGCATTCCAGTCTCTTCCCCCTTGCCACCAGCTCTCCCTTTTCTGTTCCAGCCACGGGCTCTGTGTTCTGTGTTGTTAAACATGCTGCGTCCTCACTGACTTGTGTGTGTGTGTGTGCGTGCGCGCACATGTGTGTGGTGCCTCTTGAGTCTTTTTGCCCCCGTGAAAAATGCTCCTACTTCCCCTTGTTTCTCAGTAGGCCTGCCTTGGCAATGATCCTGGCAGCGATCAATACCCGAGTTCGCTGTGAAATGAACAAAGGCTTCCAATCTCTGTGTGAAAATTCAAAAAGCGTGCCATATTAAAGGATACGGAAGTAGCGGTTGCGAAAACCCACTGTAGGGATAAGAAACTAAATTGACGTTATACAAAACAAAAGTTTAAATCTATAATTACAGTATCGAACACGCAGGGGGATTGTAGTGCTGTTTCAAGGCAATGCAAATATTCTTGTAGGCTTACGGGCTAAATATTGATGCGAGACTCAACAGGGAAAATGTCGGGAGGGCAAACAGGGATCTTCGAATTTGCGCAGGTGATGGGCTGGGTCCAGAAATGCCTTTCTGCAGGCAGAAGGCGGTTTGCTCTTCCAGAATTCCCGCTTTGTGCCTTGCCCTGGGATATGGTGCAGGGAAGGTATAACCGAATCAGACAGGTCATGCTTCTGTTCGTGCTTGTTGTTTTGGCAAGCACCCGTGCTGTTTCCTCGCACAAGCAAGGACACGAGGACCTACAGTCAGAGTAAGACTTCCGTAGAACCAGACCAGAAGCGACATCTCTCTGCTCTGGATCCACCTGAAAACATAACCTGGAAGCATCATACTTAACTGCCACCTCAGAACCAAACTCCCGATGCATCGCACTTGTGGCTAAGGATTGGTGGACGTTTTCTCTGCACACATTTCCTCTTACTCTCTGCCTTCCCCAGACTGCAATGCTCTAGAAAGGGGCCCACTGGTCCCTGACGCTCCCCTGGTCTCCGCTGAGCTGCATAAAAGTAAGGGGATTGTCAGCAGACCAGAATGAGGCCCAAGAACAGAGGCTGGTGGGTGCTTGGAGTAGGGCCTTTTCCGTGGCTGCCCCTCATGTTTGGAGGGCTTCATCACTACTGGCTGAAGAAACCTTCTAGAGATAGATCCCAGTCTCCATTAAGTCAAAGCTGTGCAGCAGATACGAAACCAGACGCGTCCATCGGCCGTCTCTCCCGAAGCTGGTGTCACAGGCCGTCTGGCAGTGCCAGCTCCAGGGTCTGGGCTTCTTTGGTGGGAGGCCCCTTCGGCTCGCCCTCTCCACCCGGGAGAACCTCCTCCACGCTGGCAGCCTCCAGACGTGTTTGGACAGGAGTGTCCTGTGGCGAGGTTCTGAGAGTTGCAGGCGAACACGTTTCCAGGGCACCAGGCTGAAAAAGGCTGGCGCAGAAAAAGAAGCTGAGCAGTGGAGGAGGCGGCAGCGGCTTCTCCAGGCTGCCATCCTAAAGCACAGAGCGGGAACAGCAAGATGGCGGGTTTCCTAGCAGAGCAGTGATTTCAACAGCATGCTGGTCCCACTTCTTGATATGGGATTGTCATCTTCTGCTTCTCCTGCTGGAAGCACACTGGTGCTCAAGGAGCCATGGGGAGCCGGGAGCTGCTCCAGGTGGGCACCTCCAAGCCATTGTTGGCCACTCATGGCTCTCTCGCCCTGATCTTGAGCCCATGTGCCACACGTGGTCGGCAGGGGAGGCGCTCACACTGCTGGATCCTTGAGACACCATCAGCTGCTTGAGAGCATCCAGCTGGACATTCTTCCTTCCCTCCATCAATTGCGATTTTTAAAGAATGCTTTCGTGATAGTGACTAAATTCAGAATAAACTTCCTATGCCATCCATCACAGTTTGAAATCTAGCGGATACCCTAAGGGCCTTTGCAGTAGCAATATAGATGGCCGGCTGGATGAGTTTCTAAAAAAAGAAGGAATAAGATTACCTTTTTGAGTCAACAGACAGCTCAATTCAGAGTTCCCCAAACTGCACCAGAAATTACGCAATTCTGTAACAATTGAAGTCATCTCAGAGAAGGTAATTTTATCTTCTGCATTAGGAAAGGGGGAATAAGAAGCTTTTTGTGATGCAGAAAGGAAAGGCTGAATCTTTAGGGCTTTCAAAAAACGGGAAAAGGAAAAATTATAAAGCCAAACATAGGGCTTCTCTTTGACTTGGCTAAAGTTGGTGAGGCTAAAGTAACACAGTAGAGCCAACACTGTGTCTGAGATTTGTTTTCTTAGGATAAAAAACACTATTCTCAAGTATCTCCCTCAAGCCAGAATGCACAGTAGCCTAGTGAAAGTTTACAATCCTGAACCTGGCTGATAAAAAAGTAAATCCTCTCACTAATAGTGGGCGCAGCGTGTTTTAAAAGCAAGTTTGAGTGTTTAAAATTGGAACCATTTTAAAAAATAAATGTTTAGCTCCAGTCCAGTTTATGGTAGTCATGACTGAATCTCAAATATTTTAAGGTGTAAGCCCTGTTGAATTGAGGAGGACTTCCAAATAAATATATTTGTTGCAGCGACTCATTCCATCCAATTCAAGGGGCACAAATCATGACGATAGAAAGTGCAAATAAATAATAAACGATTCAGTGGTCTAGTGACTCGCCTGACTAATTGCTAATATTCTCATTTTTATTTCTGAGTGTTCCAATGCTGATGCTGCAGCGCACTTTTTCTCTGGGGCAAAGCAGGGACGCTGGGCATCCAAAAGCCAGTCCACCAGCTGAATCCCAGCCCCGTCCTCAGGGCACAGTAATATAAGCTACCATCTGATGCCCATTTACCTGGGAGCAAGTCCATTGAACTGAGGGGGCCTTACTTCTGAACTGCTCTCTTTCCAGGACTGTATGACTAGTTTATTTTACCAATTCTGATCTTTATTTTTCTTTCCCACTTTTTTTTTTTTAATTTGGAAGGTTGCAGCGATTGGTCAAAGACATGCTAAAGCAGCTTCAGATTCAAGACAGTAACAAAGTCTCTGCGCTGGATAGAATTCTGGGAGAGATTTCACGTATCCTGGAAAAAGAGGTACCGTAACTCCTATTGCTCAGTGCATAATTGCTTGGTAGGACACAGGCATACCCTTTTGATATAGTTAAAGTATTTAGACGTATATGACTTAAAAGGAACGCCTGCGTCCATATTTGCCCTCCTGCCCCTTGAGATCGGTGGCAGAGGTCCTCCTCCGGGAACCCTCTGTGAAAGATATCAGGAGGGTGAGTACCCGGAGGAGGGCCTTCTCTGCGGTGGCGCCCCACTTATGGAATGCGCTCCCCAGAGAGGTCCGCCTGGCGCCGTCGTTATTTGTTTTTCGGCACCAGGCCAAGACCTTTGTATTTCAACGATCTTTTAATAATTGTTGATTTCATTTATTGGTTTTAATATATTGAGCCAGGATGTATCCAGATTTTATATGTATGTATTTGCATGTGTATTTATTTATGATGTTGGGAGCCGTCCCGAGGCTTATGCGAATGGGACGGCATACAAAAATTCCAAATAAATAAATAAATAAATAAATAAAAGTATTGATCAATTTGAAGGGTTTGGAACATCGTACAGATATAGATAATCATGTTTTAATTAATTTATTTATTTATTAAAACATTTTTATGCCGCCCCATTCGCCGAAGCCTCGGGGCGGTTCACATCATTAAGTTAAAATAATTATAATATAAATTAAAAATATAAATATTAAATTAAAAATACAACAATACAGTATAAAATAAGCCGCCCTGGCCAGATAAAACCAATAATGTTAACAGTTAAAATGCCGCTTGAATAAAAAGGTCTTCGCCTGGCGCCGAAAAACAATGAACAGGGAAGCTCTTTGTATCTTTAATGAGGTGTACTTCAGACAACATGTGCATAGAATTGCATCCCATCTCTTACAAAATACAAAGAAAAAATACATTTTATTATGATAAAAACATTTATGGTTAGTGGGCGGAAGGGAGGTCATGATGTATTAAACATAATAGAATGAATGAGTATAGATTGGCAGGCTCAGCTGGTGTGTCAGTTCACATTGGTTTTAAGTTTACATTTTCTTTTTAACATGTTGTATTATAGATAGAGGGGCAATCAAGAAAATTTATTAGGTAATTATCATTAAATCTCAATTACAGACATTATCCACACTCATATGGACATATATCATTGTTATAGGTGTTGCTCCAAAATATTTCAAAAGTTGTTCATTTCTCAACCAATTGAGTACCAGAGACTTGTTAGTATATGTAAAGAGTAAATAGGATTCATCCTTATCACCACATTCTAGTTCTATAGGATACTTTTTTCTAATATTTTTTGTAGCTGTTAATAAACTGACATCTTAGAACACTGTTTTTTCTGTGCCGACCTTCAAAGGCATCAAAAAGACTAAACTGCACCTGATATTTGGTAATTTGTTCAGTATTTATCTATTTATTTGTTTCTGTACTGCCCAGTGTCGAACTGAACTATGCACGTTTTCCATACGAGCCCATTTATTTCCCTTTTTCTACCAGAAGTTTTATAAAATTGCATTAAGCAAATGGCAAAGAACCTAGATTGATTATTGCTGTTGTTGTTAAAATTATCATTATCCTTCCTCTTCTCCCACAAGAAAAAAAGCAATAAAATACAGCTGTGTCTTATAGAATTGTGTAAATTTGCCGCACAAATAGATTAAAATGGAATCTACAGAGAAGTCATCTAAAAATGTGCGTTTTTATTTGTCCCCCAAAACATTTACAAGTTTGGACTTGGTCTCTGGGAAGGGAGTTCTCTCTGCAGATGTAACATTACTGCTCCGACATTCAGCTCCTCTTCTTCATAACATGCGCATTGATGGGCTAATCTTAGTTTTGGGAGACTCCTACAATAGAATGGATTCCCCAGACGCCTTTCCCTTCGTCTAATCCTAATGTATTGTTCCCACCGTGTGCCTTTCTACCATCTCATCTAATGTTGTGAAAATCCTTAATGCGTTAAACGCGCAGAATTGAAAACCGCTGCATCTTGATTCAGTCCCGTGTACGACAATTGCTCTGGTTATTGGTTAAAGATGAATTTAATGTTGGGTTTTGAATAGCAACAGAGTAACATAAGCTTCTTGTGGCTTATCAGCAGCTTTTCAGACATGTGTATGGCATTACGACAAGTAAACAGAATTTAAACAGATAGACTTGACATGGAATCCCTCCACCCCCATCCAAATCACTGGCCCTTTTTTAAAAACTCTCCAGTCAGGCCGCTGCTTGACGTTGGCAATATGTCACACAGACCTTACTAAGTAAGTTCATATCTGCCAAAGTTTATAAGCTGGTGGAAGTTAGAAGGCAAAATGTTCCCTGAACCATGCCGCCGAGTGTAATGCGGTACGAGCTCAGATCCTGGCATTCCATCCTTCAGTTCGGGTTCATTGAAATCCAAATACCACAAGCAGTGGAAGAAAAATAAATACGGGCTGCAGAAGGCTGTGCCTCAGAACGGAAGATCTGTCCTGCGTGATGGCAGTGCTTTCCGTCTGCGTTCGCGTGGAGAAACACAACTGGGGCATTCTTGAAGTAGAGCAGTTGTTACTAACATAGGAAACTTGCATGGGAGACAGAAATACCTTGCAGTCGATCGCACAGTGATCTGGGAACCTCACAATGCATTTTGGGAGGGATTGTCTTCCCAGACCTCCTGGAAGTGTCAGATAATCCTCATAAATCCTTTATGCAATTAGCAAGTCTAAGAAACATGCATCCGGATGTCATCCTGTATTTTTATTCATTTATTTATGGAATCTGTATCCAGCCCTTCAGTCAAAAGAGCTTCCAGGGTAACTCAGTTAAAAAGAAGCCATCTCTGCTCACAGGGAGCACAGTCGAAACAGACACAGCACACAAGGAAAGATGTGTAAGGAGGGATGAGGGAGAAGCAGGAGTCGTTTAGTAGTGCTCCGGGAATGTTTCCGCTTCTCGTATTTCTTTGTCAATTGCCTTGATTGTTTTTTCCAGAAAAGGAAATGCATATTATTTAAATACATAAACAAACCGTCCCACAATGGAGGCTGGTGGACCTGTTTTTTTAGGACCCAAAGGGTGTTCTGCCACTTTAAATATCCTGCATCGGAGGCCAAAAATTGTTTGTGCAAAGCAGGGGGACAACCAGCAAATTCGAGCGGAGGGAAAGCCCAGAGCCTGTTCCTATCAGTCAAAGCCTGGTTTCGCCATTCCTTCTGACCATTAGGTCATTAGGCTGCAAATTTCATGATAAATGAGGATAATCTTACAGTCAATCAGATCCAAGCGGGAATTTTTAAATAAAATCTTCTCAATTTGCTGCTTTGAAGAGTGCTTTTGTTTTCTGTGTCGTCAGTGGGAAGACTGAGGTTTTTTAAATGGTTTAACATTCATTAAATATTGAACCAGTTAAAAACCAGCCATTTCCTTAGATGGGGGAGTGGAGGATGAAAACATATACTTGCAGCCTGAATTTTAAGCACCTCATGACACTTCTATAACTCAAAGGTTTATTGTGATAGTTCTGACCTTATAATGGGACACAATTTCAGTATAAATAATTTAAACGTTACACAGAAGGCAAACTGTTCTTTAGGCCTCAGGGTGGGTAACAAAAAGCAAACATATGTACAACATTAGAAATATCTGTTCTTAATTGGTCCATTTAAGGCAAGGGTGTGTATATATTTTAACAGGAAAACGCAGATTTTTGTTGCTGGTACTGATAGCCATCAGCTAATAGAATAATAGTTATAACTCTTCTCAGGAACCATTATAAACATGAACTTAAAATGTTTTTAAACACAAGCTTGTGGTTTAATCAAACGTGCATTTCTGGTTATCACGAGTAGATATCTTCCAGTGGTAGAATAGTAAAGAGTTCAGGGTTGTATTTCTGATTCTGACTATAATCATACCATTGCTAATTGTGCCGTAATACAGTAACCTAAACAAACCTTATTGAATTATCCTCACAAATTCATTGCAAGTCACTTTTCCTACAGGGAATCTTTTGTAGGTAGTAGGATAGCCAAAAAAAATAAAAAAAAATAAAATAAAGTGTGTTTGGGTGTATGAATGGTACTGTGAAAGTATATTTGTCTTTATTTATTGTGAAAAAATACTATCCAGTTTGTTTGTTTAATCATTTCTCAACAAATTAGCAGCTTACAAGAAATCAAACTAACAGAGAAGCAAAAACCAAACACAATATAGCCATAGAAATAAGCAACAGAAGTAGCAAACCAGACTAATGAAAAATAAATAATACTGGCAAAACAGCTTTGGTTTGGAAAGGCATCAAGATATGTAGTGGGGATCAGCAATTTGTGGTCCTGTAGATGATTAGGCACACAACTCCCATCAGCCTCAGCCTCCGGTGAGGGATCATGAAAGCTGTAGGCCAGAACATCTGCAGGACTGCATATTCCATGACCCGAACATACGGTACGGAAGTTAGGAGGCCTGTCCGGTGGATGGAACATTGCACAGTTGGTACTACCTTTATTTCTATTATTAATCTTATTTCTTTTCTACCCAATAGTTGAAGCATTCTGGGAGGTGTACAGCAGCATGTAAAACACAACAGAATGCAAAATAAAAACTTAACAAATACAAGCAGGAACATTACAATACAGAATTTAAAACCATATTTTAAAAGCTACAGTGGCTTCCACGAATTAAATCACAAGACCTGTTAAGCAGCAACCATTAAACCCTAATGAAATTAAATAAAGGGCATCCTTAAACTAGCACTAAAAAGATGTTGGCAGCAGGCAGGCGGGCTTCTGCAGGGTGTTTCTTCCACAACTGGAGAGGGCGGTGGTCAGTGAGAAGGATTCTGCCGCCAACCAAGCCTCCCCAGAGGCATTCCCCAGATCTTGATTGTAGTATCCAGACAGATGGCAGCTGGGAGAGGTGTTTCCTCAAGCGCCGTGGTCCCAAGCCACGGGTTAAACCAGCACCTTGATCTGGGCTTGGAAGCATGAGGATATTCACTGTGAGCGAGCCAGAACTGGTGTTACGGCTTCGGTG